TGTTTGATCTTGGCTAGCACGTCCGGCCGCCATCCGCGTAGACGATCCTGAACAAATGCGAACTTGGAGATTTGTCCTTCCCATTCGGTGTAGTTACCAAAGGCGGCAACTTCTCCATACTGTAGGGGTCAGTCATGTTCAATGTCGAAAGAAAGGGAATGTTACCTGATCAAATTCACTATCCCGACATGAAGGACCAAGGGTTGTGGTGGTCAAACCGGTCCCGTCGTCATTCCAGAACCGAGGATACTCCCAGGGACATTCACTCTCAACTTCATTTCCAGGCTGAAAGTCCCAGTATCGACGGTCATACTTCCATACAGAGTCATACTCGTTGGGATTGATCGGCGCGGACTTGTTCAAGAAACCCTGGAAGCCGATAAGATCGCCCATTCTATGCAAAATCAGCAGACGACATCGGAGGTTGCGCAGATAGATCCCACATACGTTGCAAAGGTATTATCAAAAAGAACATAAATTCCCCGTCGATGTGCCTCAGATATCATTGTGCGCCAATCTTCAATTGTACCAAAGTGGTGGTCCAGCAGGGTCAGGTCCAGCGGGGAGTATCCATCCGCGGCCCAGGGAAAGTTGATATACGGTGTTCCAGCGAGGTAGACGCCCTGGATATGGTTAATATATTTTCCACGTCCAATCTTCCGGAAGCAAAAAAGCGCACCTTGATCCCCATCCCCTGAAGATAATCAAACGTATCAACCAACCCAAGAACGTCGCCGCCATGGCGGAACTCGTTAGAGGTCAAGATGTGTTCCCACTGTGTGCCATTTGCATTATCGTTACTCGGATCGCCATTTACAAATCTGTCGAGAAATATCGTGTAAAACGGGAATCGCCAATTCTCTGGCGAGGGGTTGTATGTGTGGTCATCCCACCGACCCGAGTAGTCGAGGGGATGTGTCGCTGTCTGATTTTGATTGAGATTCCAGTCTGCTTCCTCTGGAAGATATGGCAATGATTGTACAATGCGTATATATATTGCAACAATGGCAAGGTATTGAGTGATGGAAGTGAGCAACTCCATTCCGCACAGTGAATGCCACTATGGTGATATTCACAGAACACGCTGTTCGAGCCTCGACTGCAGTCAAAAAACCACAGGGTGCATACCAAGAAGAATGCGATAACTCATAGAAGGAAAGATAGTGAACGATTCATAGGGCACATATGCGCAAGAGAAGCATGTGAAAGATAATGAAAACTCCGGAGATGTCCAGGCCAATGCAATAATTGATTCAATACTAATCAGCATAGACGCAGGAATTAGGCGAACCACTGGAGACATGATCCAGCCTTGCTATACAGCCTCAATCCACAGTAAAGCATATCCATACTCACGCTAAGCGATTGAGCGGTCATAACTCTGGACAATAGATCGCAAGCTGACATGCATCGGTATAGGATCTTCGGAGTGGTCCACAGCCCTGAACCCAATATACGAAGTGGGTCTTTGCTCGATAGCTTGCTTATGTGGAGAATGATATACGTGTTTGCTGCAAAGCTATACGAGTTTTCTAGACCAGTCGTGCCGAAGATCATAAAGTGTATATTATGCCAGATCGGGTATCCCGCCTAATATATGATAGAACACGTCATACCTGGTACAGGACTGACCTATAAGAAAGGGTGGATATGACGATAAGGTGGCTTATTGCTGTTGTCTCGTATTATTGCTTTTTTTTTTTTGGCTTTCCTTCACGGCCACTCCGTCCCTCGGAAGCAATATGTGCCCGATGAGTTCGCGGGATTTTCAAGGATCAGCAAAGCTTGCCGATCGGGCCGACATAATACAGATCGTTAAGATATGTATTACACATACGGTACAAGATACACGTACCTCACCGTAAATAATTTTCAGCCTATATGGCATTGTCAATAAATTTAAGTACATATGTAGCCTTTTCATTGTCTCTGAATCCATCCGTCATTTGATTCACCTTTGACCTGTCATGCAAACGCCACTGACAATGTGGTGGTGGAAGGTTTTGGTGGTCGCCGCCATTGGGACAGTACATGCGGCATCCCGAGACCAATGGCTCGGTCGGTCCGTTTACCAAGTGGTCACCGATCGCTTCGCTCGATCCGATAATTCAACCATCGCTCCTTGTGTTGCAGCTCTGGGAGAGTATTGTGGAGGGAGCTTGCAGGGCATCATCAATAAGCTGGATTACATTCAGGAACTCGGGTTCGATGCGGTCTGGATCTCTCCAGTGCAGAGCCAGGAGTCAACTCGCACGGCGGATCTCTCAGGTATGGTCATATTGCCTGTGAACGGATATAGAGAACTAACGATTGATGGATGATAGCATACCATGGGTATTGGCCAAACGACCTTTATTCCATCAACTCCCATTTTGGCACTTCCGATGACCTCGAAGCGTTATCCGCGGCATTGCACGCGCGTGGCATGGTGAGTCGCCGGCTGCCATGTCTACTCCCAAAACTGACATATAAAATAGTACTTGATGCTGGATATTGTCGTTGGTGACATGGCCTGGGCTGGAAATGCCTCCACTATCGACTACAGCAAGTTCAATCCATTCAATGATCAGAAGTATTTCCACGACTACAAGCTACTTTCTGAGGACCCCGTAAACAGTACCTGTGTTCTGGATGTAAGTCTGTCATAGCATTTGTGAGAGCATTGCTAAGCCTTTATCAGTGCTGGATGGGAGACACGACCATATCGCTTCCAGATCTGCGAAACGAGGATCAGGAAGTCCAGCAGATGCTGGGCACCTGGATTTCGCAGTTGGTTTCCAACTACTCCAGTATGTCTATGTGTCTCCTATGTCTCCAAGGAATTTAATAACAGTTATTCTTTGTAGTTGATGGCCTGCGAATCGACAGTGTCTTGAACATTCCCCCCGTCTTCTTCTCCAATTTCACCAAGTCGGCCGGTGTTTTTACTATGGGCGAAGGCGCCACAAGAGACGCATCCGGTTACTGTTCTCTACAGCCCGGTCTACCCGGACTTTTGAATTATCCGTTGTGAGTAGCTCATCAAAATGAACGGAGGGCGTGTTGACACTTTTAGGTATTATATCCTCACAGAGGCTTTCAACACGACCGACGGAGACCTGAACAGAATCGTACAGTCTATAGATTACGTCAGGAAACAGTGCGAGGACGTACTGCCCCTGGGAACTTTCACATCGAATCAGGATGTCGCTCGCTTTGGCTCGTATACTTCAGACATATCGGTAAGTCGAGTGCATCGGGTATTTTGTCAGCACGCATTGACTTTGTCGCTCCCGATTAGCTGGCTCGCAACATTCTCACAATCAGCATGCTCGCTGACGGTATCCCCATCCGTATGTTGTGCCCCCTCGAACAGAAACGAAAGCCAACGATACTAATAAACGCAACACAGTCTACTACGGGGAGGAACAGCACCTGTCAGGTGGATTCAATCCTGTCAACCGGGAGGCCCTATGGCTTACCAAATACTCAATGCACTCGACCTCCCTACCTTCGCTAGTCCAATCGTTGAATCGCATTAGATCATATGCAAGCGGTGACGGAGAAAAGTCTACGGTCGCCCCGAAGTCAGGGGTCGACTATCTATCATACCTCTCATTGCCGATCTACAATTCAACAAACATTTTGGCCATGCGCAAGGGATTTGCCGGTAACCAGGTTGTGAGCGTCGTGTCCAACCTGGGAGCCAAGCCATCCCGCAAAGCTACCACGAAAATCACGCTTGGCTCCGACGGCACAGGATTTTCATCCGGACAGAATGTGAGCGAGCTCTTGTCTTGCAAAACATATGTGACCGATTCAAGCGGAAATCTCAATGTGGACCTCAGCTCGGATGGAGGGCCTCGGGTGTATTATCCTACTGAAAGCCTGAACCGAAGCAGCAATATTTGTGGAGATCACACCCGAACATCGACAACCTCCGCAGCAAGTCCAAAGGCTTCCACCGGCGCTGGGGTTTCGTTATTCAGCTTGTCGTGGGAGATGATAGTCACGGTCGCATTGACCACCTCCTTCGTTTCCATCTATCTCTAGACCGCCATTCCTACCGCTTTGATTATGTTTCCTGTCCGAATTAGTTTTTGATTTTGTTTGTTGACGTTGTTTGATGGTTTATGCAGTGGTTTTACTATAGACTAGATCCTCCGTATAATTAATTCTATTGCTTTCATATTACCTCGTGAATTACCATGGAACATAGGAGATGTGTTGAGTAGAACCTTAGAATGGAGATAGTGGCCTGAGGCACCCACCCTCATTCGGGCAACTTGCCCTAATTAGGAATCTCAACTCTACCGCTTCTCGTCTGGCTACGCACAGTAAGGTCCAACATAGAAACTCCGTACTTGGAGCTGAATTCCGACAATCGCTTTTGAACATTGGGCGCAGCAGAGTAAGACGGCATACCTACCAATCTCATCTGGTGAATATTACCAGTCATGACCGGTATTCATTCTCGGCTGTAAGTGACGATACAATACAACGAAAATAGATCTCCATTATGATAACCTCGATTTCCGAGCCCTGTCGGTATACTCCGTATCTGCTGCACCCCCAAACGCTAAATTAGCGCTGACATGCTGGTCGCCTAAGTTTAACCCTTTATTAGCAAGGACGATGCGTGCTGGAGACTTGATTGGAAAGATAAGGTGCAATGCTTACTTGGATGGACCCTCAACACAACAGGACGGGTCGCTGGTGCAGTGATGATCTTAGCAATGCCCATTCGTTGCTACCCTACAATATACGTGGTCACCAGAATGACCCCTGAATTTTTCAGTGTCTCCACAAGAGGCTCAGCGCATGTTCATATCATATTCAGCTTCTATGCAAGGTTTGGATTACTATCTCGTATTCTCAATGCGCTGGGCTTCGGCTGAAAGTTACTGATTTCTGTATATAGATCTTCGAACAATCTAGTTCCTATATAGTCTTATCCTAAGAAATAGTGGACATTCCCATCAGCTCGCCATCAAGCAATTCAGAAATTCCAGTCAATCAAAATGCGCTACTCATTCATCATCACCGCTCTGAGCCTCCTCTCATCGGCTTTGGCCATCACCGTCACCGCTCCCTCGTCAGACTCGGTGTGGGATTTCTCCACTGCCAAAACTATCAAATTCACTAGCGGTTCTAGTGACCCTTCGGTAATCAGCATCATCCTGAGATCGAAGGATGGCTCCTTCCAGACCAAATTGGCGGATAACGTCAAGACCTCTGAGGGCGAATACACGACCCAGCCTAACCCTAGCATTTCCAACGGGTATGTAGAAGATAGGGTGGGTGAGCAGAGAAGAACAACACTAATACCATTCTGCCATGCCTTAGAGATGACTACGAGATCCAGATAATTGATTCTGGGGGCCAGCTCGCCGTCAGTGACACCTTTACTGTCAAGAAGGGCGCTTCAGATGATGGTACTACATCCTTGTCTTCTTCCACCTCTTCTTCTACTTCTTCCACGTCTTCTTCCACGTCGTCTACGTCTACTTCCACGTCTTCTTCTTCTACGTCTACTACCACTTCTTCTTCTTCCACTACCACCACCACCACTTCTTCTTCCGCGACGACCACTTTTACATCCGTCACCCCCACCCTTACATCCTTGGTGTCTTCGACATCCACGTCGTCGACTGATCCTTCGTCTTCTTCAGGCATGATGCATCTCCGCACAATTTTACAAGGCAATCATACTAATACAACTTTTTCATCGCAGCCTCCACCACTTCCTCTTCCGACTCTTCATCCACCAGTGCCTCCGCCTCCGCTGTACCCTCGACTGATGCTGCATCATCTCAGCTCAGCGGCCCCAAGGGAGCCATGGCTGTACTCGGCGCTGCTTTCGCGCTCATTTACGTCTAGATTATGTCCCACCAGACAGTAATGTGTCTGAAGCGTGCACACAATCGCCTTTCGGAATAAGTAGAATCATATCTCATTGGTCTGTTTAATTGTCTTACTCTTGAAAGTTTATGTCGGTCTGGAACGAAAGCGTATTATAGACTAGTGAGACACAATCTAACTAGTTTGGGTGAAAAAGTATAATTGTAAGATCAGTAAAAAGCTTATCGTGTTTGAAAATACAGGGCTAAAAGCTAAAAATATAATCACTGAATTATTAGATTTCTAGAGTTCTCTTAAAAAAAAGGCTGGACTTCGTATAAACCCATTAGGCTGAAACAAAAGTCTATTATAGGCCACCGTTGTTGAGATATCATGTTGTAATTCATCGCACTTATTATGTGATGTCGGCTGGTATAGCCGGCTCGGCTGTAGACTACGTTAACTAATAACCTTTGAATATTAAACCGGGAAGCGAAATGTATAGAATTTGGTGTAAAGAATATGCCGGTGCGCACGTCTCTTCCGCTCAGCCCAAAGACCAGTATATATAATAGCGCACACAAGTTATCCGTGAACCTAAGTCTTGCTTAGTACACATCTTGCTAAGCGGGGCTGGAGAGTGGAAAGCAGAGGGGAAAGATGATATTACAGCTTTTTTTGATCAGAATAGGTAAATGTAACTTGCTGTACTTCATTGAAACTTGGCCTATTTTTGTTCTCATCATAATGAATCTCCAAAATAGGCTCATTCCAAGCTGAAAAGAAAGATGACAGATAAGCCTGATGACTCAAACATCGCAACGGGGATAATCCGCCCTAATTGCCCTAGATAGAGCGGCGAGCCACCCGTGCCCGAACCGTGGACGCAGGCGACAACCACCTTAGACGTGCTGTTGTATGTTTTTATAGCAGATAAAAGGAAAATTAATGGATAGCGAGAAAGAAAAGGCATGATGTCTATGTAGCTAGGAATATTATATCAACAATGGTCCTAACAAGGATGGCTGGCTTCAGACAGCTGAATCCACAACATCTACAAATGCCATTAAATCAATGGCTATGCTCACGTCCTTCTGATTTGCAGCAAGATCCTCCCATAGCAGCTCTAGCTAGATTTGCGCGGCTCATCTTATTAGGCTCATGGTGAGGCTCGCGGACAAATTCAGGCTGTCGGTGCCCTTTGCCGAATTTCCCTGGCGTATTCTTAGCAGCAACATTCTGCTTGTAAATCATGTTGAGCCAATTGGCTAGTCGGTAGCCGCCTTTAGCAATCTGGAGCTCGATCGTGCCGATGGCGGAGTTGTAGTATGTCGGGTATAGATCGCCAGTCTGCAAGGCAGCGGCTCCATCCGGCATGACAACAGTACAGACAAAAGAATTGGCATCCGATGCCCATCGAGTGGCAGTGGTGATAGTATCACTGATGGTATCGCCTTTGATCCAGCTCGCTGCTTGCTTTTTGTAGGTGCCGGAAGTGATTTCATCGACCAGGCTGTCGGCCCATCCCTGCGCATCGGCGAGCGAACTACCGCCAATCAGCTGTACAGGCATGTATGTATCCCAGTCCGAATGAAGGTTGTCAGAGTAGTTGTTGAAAGTGACACTGATGCCATTTCCGCCAACCTCGTAGTTCTCGTCGTGCAATGGCTGCGTGAGATCGCCAAGGAAGTGCACGAGGAATCTGAGAGCTTCGGCGGTATTGGCAGTAGTGAGTTTGCTATCCCCTGCACGCTGGGTATAGTTGGCAATGGCAGAGATCGAGCAGCCTTCAGCTCCACAGTCGCGCTCGTAGTCCACGTTGCAGCTTGTTGGCGGGTCATCCATGGCATCAATGTAGTGCAAAGGGGCTGACCATTTGCCGTCATCTTTGAGGCGGTATTGATCTGCCCAAGAAGCAATGTTTGCTAGGTATGAGCTGGAAGTATCATTGAGAATTTCTTGTGCCCTTCAAATAGATTAGCATTGGATACTGTCTTTATCTGGAAGCTCTTTCGGAGGAATTACCATGATGCGGCTTCAGAAGAAATGTAATGTTGTGCCACATAGGCAACAGTCGCGTGGCCTAGTACGCCCCACGCATTTGCGCCATGAATCACCCCGAAGGTGACGAAAGCAATCCTGAATAGAGACACCATTGTTGGAAAACTTCAAAGGGGTCACAGACCAAAGTGGGTCGCGGGGTGTTTGTTTATGAAGGTCAGCGAAAACCCAACTACATTATATAGTCTCGAGTGCCGGCGGTTTCCACTTGCTGCGAGTCCCGTTGCCATGAAGCCAGCCGATGTTACAGCCAAAAAAGAAGATCTATGCAAGAGGTTGTCAGGAGATAAGAACACGGTGATCTCCTACAAAGTATGATTCGTGAACGAAATTGCGGGGTCGGCGCTAACATGCCAGGGCCACCGGAGACCACCGGCGCTGAAGAAATGGCTCAAACGGCTATCTCAGGGTCTTCAATCTCTAATCTGCAATTAATATGATATGAAATAATAGATTGGGGTTGTCTGTGATAGATGAAGGGATTGGCAAACAATCAGACGTATGCAAGTAAAACTCGGGAATTACCGAACATTCAGACAGCGGAGATTTGCAGAAGAGTGAATATCCTAGCAAAGACCGAAGAAATTGACATGAGCCATTCTGCGCCGATCTTACCTAATGTATTTCGCCTGTGAGATAAAAGAAGCGAGTGTAACAGTAACAGTAAAAAGGAAGGATTATGCAACACCACTGAGGCCTCCCCGCAGCAGAAGGAGTTGTGCTCATTTTTCTTTTGCAAGTGAAGCCTTCTGCTCGTAAATTGTAAACGGAGAGTAATGGCGTTTTGTAGAACTAGCATGCCTTCACATGACATAGTTATATACTATCACGGGCTGTTGTTCGATGGCTGCATCAATATGGGCCAAGGTCGCTTTCCCAGCAGCAAGTATCCAAGCTGTTGCTTGAGGTGGACGTTTCTTTCAATGACCATACCATCTGACGTCTAAGAAGCGTTGTTCCTTATAGATCAATATAATGTGGTCAGTGTCGTGAGCCGTGGTTGGAGACGGATTGTACGTTCCATGGTTGAGATGGAGAAGAAGTACCCTGGGTACCTTGGAAGAATCAGTCACTCCCGAGGTCTATTTTGACCGCAATATTAATGGTATGACTGGTATCCTCTTTTCACGGCCTCTGCGAGTCATCAAACAAGGCAATATTTGAAGGAAAAGACATATGGCTGTATTGTCTGTGACCTCTTAGATGTCTCTCATATTTCTGCATTCTACAGTGATTATATTAGGGAAATTCCTTTTATTTTCAGTGTATAGCCGTTAACTGAGCAAAAAGCCTGTTTTATTCTCTAACTCTCTGTATATCTAGGCTAAGCTTAAAATCTCGAACCCCCAAACCATACTATGCTAGCGCCTTTTAGTGAATTATTTGATTCAGGTACCGGCTAGTAGTCAATAGAAGTGCGCTGCGAAGTGACTTGGCAGATTTTGTGCAGCCGAAGGTAGTCATCTGCAGCCACCAAAGCAACGGCATTTTGCCCCAGAGATGGTGGATATTGTAAGAGTGGCTTCTTAGGCTTTAGCGTGTGGAATCAAAACAGGTTGCCGAGGTCAGGAATGATCCAAAAGCAAATATATCGCCGTGGGTGAAATTCAGGTCTTTCAGAATCGAAACGGAATGATTCGGAGTGAAACTTACAGCAATAAAGGCCACCGAGCCCAGAAGATGGGTCCATATATTCATTGTTTCCATGTGTAAACAGCGCCATATACGCAAGGATCGTTTGTAAGAATATGTGGGCATCAGGTGGACTTCCAAAATATATCATTATCACGTAGCCATCCTGGGATCTGCTCTTTGCTTCCAAAATATGGCCAGTATTGATTATCCGGCTCGGATGTAGCTGCCGAGCTATCAGTCAACAATCGGGAGTCTTCGAGTGGTCGTTCAAGAATCTGAATTTATCCAGCACTGTAGAATTGGCAAATCGAGGGGCCGTGGGGATCTTGAAATATCCCGAGAGAAGGCACAAATCTTAGCATGTTTTGTTCTCATCTCTCAGCGCCCTCTTTTCGCGCGCGACACACGACATGGCAGGCTATCTGGGGACGTACTAGCGCAGAGAATGGTATGTTCCTACACGTAACGCTATCATTTCGGACCAGATTATTAAAGTCTCACGTTGTCAAGGACAGAGGCCGCATGAGCGCCGACGCATTCCTGTGAATTTCTATTTCATTTCTTTCTATCCACTCTCAAATATCCTCCTCATGTTGAATTCGTCTACTGCTGCGCGGAGGCCTCGGCCCGGTCCTGAACCGTTTTAGCAATAGCAGGACGTTCCTGCACCAGTTTCAACCAAGCAGCGACATTGGGGAACTCCTTCCCCATATCAATCCCAAACCGGCCAGTAATCTGATACCAAGGAACAAAAGCAGCATCGACATATGAGAACTTGTCACCGACGAGATACTGCTTCCCCTGGAGGGCCCGGTTGAGCACGCCAGAAACACGGCGGATTTCGCTGACATAGCGGTCGATTGCGCTTTGCACCTTCTCTGGGTGGTAGCGGCTAAACCAAACAGCCTGGCCGAAGTATGGGCCTTGACCGGACACCTGGAAGTGAAGCCATTGCTTGGCGAGGTAGTAGTCCTTGGAGCCGGTGGCAAAGCTGATGGTGTTTTGCTTGTCGTATGTGTCAACCAAGTATTCGAGAATCGCGCCGGATTCCCAAAGGGTGGTGTCTGTATTGGGGTCTTCAATCGCGGGGACGCGTCCGTTGGGATTGATGGACTCGAATGGCTCTTTCTTCATATCTGCGAAGTTTATGAACTTGTGGATGTAGGGGATATCCAGCTCTTCCAGGATCATGATCACTTTCCAGGGATTGGGGCCCGTGGCATGCCCGTAGACGGTGATAGGCTTGAGTGACATTGTTGGTTTTGGTGAGGTATTTATTTGGATTGTAAGGTGGGAAATAAAGAAGTAAAGGAAAAGGAATCAGATCAGGACTGGGACTCTTAAATCAAGCTTCCATCCCCCTCACCACCCCACAATGTCGATTATTCATTGTCCTACAACGTACGTTGTACATACGGCACTGTGGAACCTGAAGCTGACAAATGGTCCAAAGGTTCGACGTCATTGCGAGGCAGTTGAAATCCTTCGCGTTAACCGACGAGAACCGGTGTGATGTTGCCAAGTCGAACGTCCGGGTGTCTCTATCCCGAGGTCACCTGCCCAGGTGATGACTAATGATGACTAATTTAGTTATCTTCATCCTACCTAGGTAGTTAACTAGTTGCATGTTCAAATCAGTTCAAATCAGGAAATTGATCCTGGGCCTGGGGCACTTGGCTTTGAAGTTTTCACCATTTTGACATCTTTGTAACTTCGCACCTTTCAACCCTGATATACCTACATACTTCCGAGTCACCAGTCCCCTCGTCCGGAATAGTAACACAATGCCCGTGGTTTCTGCGTTTCCCCCTAATATAATTTCATCCATTGTGTCCTTTCTGTTAAACAAAGATGTCAAATATTTGCGCTTAATGTGCCAATCCCTTAGCAAGATTTCACCATTCTCCTCCTTACGCGTGTTACGCGTGTTTCTTTCGGCCAATTCGTTGAACATCCAAGTTTTTCGGGCTATAGCAGACCATCCAAAGTTTCGCCACAGGATCAGGGAGATCATCTAGGACGACTCACAGCTTGTAGCCATGGTTATAGGTATCCGTGCGCCCAAGCATCTTACACAAAAGAATGAACGCCAAGGAGAAATATCCAAGGAGGGATATCCCGGTTAGTTCATAAAGGAATGCGAAAAGAACCGCTCTGAGAAGAAGGATCGGAAACACCGCGACATGGACCGACCTAAAGCCGTATGTTTGATCTCTTACATTGAGTTTCAATTTTGGAACGTTGGAATGTCATTAATACCTATCTGTCTATTCAAAAAAATCCTATCAATATGTATCAAGACATATCCAATCGTATATTGGCACTTCATTCCAGCTACAGCTCCCATCAGAGGAAGACACGCTGACACAGTCTATAATTATTATTTCGGTTTAGGGTTAAGTCTTTTATTACTCACCCATAACCGGGATCAATTCGGGAGCAATTGGTATAAATACTGAGAGGATAATGAAGGGAAATATAAAGATATCAAAAATGAAGCGATTCCGAGCTCATAGCTAACGGAAATCGCGGTATTGCGAGAGTATATTAATTAGATCGGATGGCAGAAAGATCTCTAACGCTCTAAATTTCCCGGCTCTGATCAAATTATAAGGTTGGAAGCCTCATCGATCAGACTAACTCTATCGAATTCCATTTCAAATCAAACCTTTGGAAGGGGCTTACAGCTGATCGAATGTTGAAATGGGACCGCTAATTTAGCGTGAAGGAAAATATATTAATCCGTGTTAATCCGCTTTTCGACCATCTATCTGCTCAGAGGGGTCTTAGCGAATGTCGAGATCTCTCTTCACACTAGGATGTCTTCATAGCTTATAATAGACGTTCATAGAGACCCCGTGATCATTATTTACAATATTATCCTTTATGTAATAATTAGTCATTAGGTCAGAAGCTGTTATACTATATTAAAAAAGAATCCCGATATTCGCTGATGTCTGACGTTCGCTGAGCTCTCGGAACTCGGATTAATAACATTTGCTCAGCTGACGGCCGCGGAGGACATTGGGTGAGCTAAAAATTTAGCATCGGAATAAAGATCTACATGTTCGGACTACATCGGACTACCTAAAACCAGCACATCCCTGTATCGTGCTAACTCCTAATGCCCGCGGTTGTAATCGTCCGAATCATCCCATTATATCCTTTGTACTCTGATTTCAAATCTTCAAAGGCCTCATCCTTTTAAAGTTACGAAGCCGTAAACAACCCCGCTCTTTGAGTCATCCTAAGCCACTTCGTAACTATATCGTAACGCCTTGGCAGCTAGGCATTCATTCTCAAACATATTATGTTGTATTCATCTATGCAATTTATAGTCACTAAAGGGTCTAAAACAGGCCGTTATTCAGCGGAAAGCTACCCTTGCACATTATGGAGTGCCTTCTATGTACCGAGTAGTATAACTGAAATAACATGCAACCCTGTGGGCCTAGTTAGATTGTCTAGAATTATCTAAGATTCCTTCGGATAAGATCCAGACCTCAACTCCGAAATAGGAATATGGTTAGCTGCGCTAGCTCGGTCTAACACGTGGATACTAGTAAGATGCAAAGCCGCACAATCACTGAAAATTGACTGCGCCCTTTCGCAAGATCCTTCTAAAATTGGAAGCCTTCACGAGTTACATATCAAAAGGTGTGCGAATTAATTACCGAATTAGGACTCCGCACTGTGCGGTGTCGTCGTTTGGGTCTAGAGGATAGATACACATGCCCCAGAGAACAAGCAGCTTCATTTATCAGATATTCTTGGCCTTCACGCTCAGAAATCCCATTGGATAATTCTGACCGACTTATTCATCCAATATTTTGGTTTTCCACACCAGTCTTACCCTCGTGTAGTCCGCTCGCCAGTAAAAATCGAACTCCGACTCTTACTCCGATCATTAGCGGCTCCACACGTGAGGCGGCTGTGACTACTGACGTCTTTCTTAGGTTGTCCTACCAGCCTTTGACAGTGCAAAAGCTTCTAGACTCGATGTATTCATACTATGACTGAGGTGGTGGGGCGTCAGCATTTTGAGATTTTCTTTCTTCTCGGAATGGCAGCCTGACACGGAGTAAATGAATCACCCAAGCTCTATATAAAGACTCAATGATATCTCCGTAAAAAGAAACTTCCCAATCCAATCCATTGCAAAGCATTAAGCCTTGAGGTCTGAAAATCAGCATCATCATCACACATTGCTCGCTAACTATAAACACCGAACCAACTCATACTCGTTTACTTTTCGTTTACGTCTTACCTTCGCTGTCAAGAAATTCTCAAGCAATCCTCCAAAATCCCCCAAAACCACACACAAAATGTTCACCAAATCCACCAAAGCGTCTTGCAAGACTACATCGAGCGCAGCCTCAACCCACTCGACCGTCTCCACAGCGACAACCCTCAATGCATCAGACGCATCAACCAAGAGCCACAAGTGGTACTCGCTCGGCTCGAAGTCCCAGAGCTCTGTACCCAACAATAATGCCATAGAGGTTGAGAAGAAGAAGATACACAACGAGGCCCTTGCCAGCTACCTCAGCCTGCGCTAAGTGGTTTCGAACCAGTGGATGGATGCATCTACTTCTGCGCCGATTATGATCACACCCGCTCGGTCCACTCGCTATACCTCGAGTAGATGCTTCCGGGCTCTTTTCTTCTTTCCCGTTGTCTGTTTTGGTGCTTGGTTTGTTGGATTTTTTCGATGCTATACTGCGTCGATTCATGGGTGCACGTGTTCGCCCCTTCGCCTCACGATGGAATGATTTGGATACCACATACTATGTTTAATAATTTGTGATTTGCATTTGTCTTTTGATTTGTCTTTTGATTTGTCTGTCCTTATGGTGATGTTCAACGATCATAATCTGGGCTGTTTGGCTGGTTTGCTTGGTGTTCAAATGTCTTGTTGAAATAGAGGAATATCTCTATGTTAAAAGTTCTTTCTCTCAAATTATGTTCTCATTCAAGTAAAGCAATTCAAATATTTATCGGGTAATGTGGTGGTGCTTGGTATTCAATAACTCGTAAAAACAGTAATCATTATGGAAGGTAGGCAACAAATGTATGGGAAAAACTCCAGCATACGATGACAAACGCTCAAAGAAGGCAACTCGGAACTCAATGCATATGTATATTACAACCCAGCCATCAGCTCTGCCATAGATATGGGTTTGCGGACCGCGTTCGAGAAGCCTTCGTGGAAAGTAACCCAGACTTTCCGCCCAGCCTTGGACGACTCATCAGCCCAGCTGTCGTCTAGATCATTAGGCTGTGGCGCAGGCTGCTCAACCAGCCGACCAAAGAAATCCCGTTTCACGGCTGCTTCTCTGATTGCTTTGGCTGCGGCCGTCTCAGCGGAGTTCCTGGGACCCCTGGTGCCGAGTCTAGACGCGCCCATGGCATCAGACTGCTTGCGCGTCGTTGCCTTGCGATACTCTTGGTCTAGCACTTGGCGGACAGCATACCGCACTGGCGCTGTGCCACCCGAAGCCTCGATGGTGCTACCCTTGATCTTTGAGAAGACTACAAGTGAGTCGATTGGTCTGTTTGAGGATATATTAGCTTTGTATGTCTCACGGAAGATTTGAAATCCCACTCACGGTTCCATTCTGTACGCCCATCCACCGTGGCTTCCCTCATGTTCCACTCGGACTTTTTCAAAAGTCACGCCCATCCCGGTCATGACACGCACGGTAGACTGGACAAGCGCACGTTCGGACTCTTTGCGGACGGTGGCGGTGCTTCTCTGCTCACCGTTTCCACGGATGATGACCGGCTTAACGTCTGGTGATAGCATGCGGATCAAGTAAGGGACCAGATCTGTGATTATACTTTCATTCGATCGGAAAATGCGAGCCATAGGTGCCGAAAACGAGGCGTGGAATGCAGTCATGGCCGCGCGGTTTTGCTTTTGTGCTTCGAAAGCAGCAAAGTCAGCTCTGGGTCCTGAGAAAGGATGGGGCTCTTCAGCTTCCTCGTCATCATCGTTTTTATCGTCGTCGGTGGTTCTGCCAGTAGCTGTAGCAAATAGATGATGGAATGCGACAACCGACTGGCTGAGGTATGGAATCAGTTCCCACTCTTGAGATGAATGAACTTTCGAACTGATCGAGTCATGGAAATGAAGCCAGTCGTGGGCGGCGTTGGGTTTGGAAAAATAATTATCATCCTGGTATTGCTGGGTGGGATACGAAGCGAAACAGTCCGATACACAGCGGTCATGATCACCGCTGGAATCGACCATTTCTCGCAATCGGTTGATTGCGTGTCGTTTTCGCAGATCTGCCACACCGACAGGAATACGGCTGTTGGTGGCATCAAAGCGATCTTGGAAACTCATGCCAACAGGAGCATCAGAGAAGCCAGCCCCCTCTGTAAACACACGGTTCACAATCTCACGAACACCCCCACGACTTAACTCTTTGAAGAATGCGCTACCCTCGGTCGATGCATTGAGAACTCGAGTCTCCAGCCAGTTCCTCGTGAGCCTGAGTGATGATGGCGACGACTCGTTTCGAAGCTTGTGTGCCACAAATTCTGCGGCAACAAGCACGCTACGAATATCGCCCTCAGCAGACCCCTGAGTTTTGCCACTGCGATTTTTTTTGCTCGCCATACCCCAGGCTGCTTCACAGAGCCTTCGAGCCCCATCACTGTCGCAGGGGATGCCCTCGCGTCCGAAGATGAACTTGACTCGTTGGACAACATTCTCCAGTGGTGCTTGACGGACAGTGATCATCTCTGCAATGGACGATGCCCTAAGAGGCCGGAGACTGCTGTGATAGAGGTCATTGCAAACCAAAATCAACGGCCGCATAAATCGGAAGTTGTCACCCTTGCGCTTCTTGCCATTATTGCCCTCCGAAGACCATTTTGCGTTCCGTTGGTCAAGCAAAACAAGGTCGATGAGGGCCTTCATGAAGCCGCCCTCACCACCACTTCCAGAACCACCAGTGACACCGTCGACTTCGTCCACCACGACACATACGGGTTTACCGGCACGGCGGACCTTTTTATCACCAACCTCCACGTTCATACCTTTGACGTTCTCGGTTCCCAATGCATCGCGAATGCGGCCTTTAACCACATCCCTGCTGCGATCATCACTTGCATTGATTTCAAGCACTTCAAAGCCAGCCTGCCTAGCACATACGTGGGCCAATGTCGTTTTTCCAAGTCCTGGAGGGCCACTTAATAAGAGAACCTTCCTGTGGATGTACTCTTCTTCATCCTCCCGGGCAGGCTTCTTCGGTCGAGACTTGGCTAGACCAGGGAATACAATTGACTCCCACCCCTTGAGCCAGCGTAGGACTGCTCGGTGTGTGCGTTCATCCCCAATGAGATCGGTGAATTTACGAGCACGATATTTCTCTGTCCACATTGCAGAGTCTAATTTCTTCTGCTTTGAGCTCATGTTGTTCGCTTCGATGGTTTGCTGGACTTGTGGTTGAGGGACTTTGTTCACGGGCTTTTTGTCCTTGGCGGCATCGTCTAGCAACTTGTGGATGTCGATACCATAATAGCTCTTCGTCGCCTTTCCTGGTTCTGTCTGGGACCGATTGGCGATCATTTGTTTATACGAAACGGGGGCCTGGGCCTTCCTTTGCGGGACAGTATGGGCCTTGCCGGCACAAGTCTTGATCTGGAATCTCTTGGGAGCCATTGGAGCAGGCCGGGGTGTCAGGTGTAGTGGTATCCTGGAAGAGCTAATTGTAGCATTCAATTTAGTAGATGTCGGCAGCGGTGCCAGTATACTAGGGAGTTCCGCCGGAGGCTCTTGAATAAAGTGCTCGGGCAGGTCATATTGATTCTTCATCTGCTCGTCCCGGAAAGCAGCGAGGTCGTCTTCGTCCTCGTCGTCATCATCAACGAAGCCTCCAACTATGCGCTGGCGCTTCGGCTCTGTCAGCTGCACACCTCCCTCTGAATTTGTGACTTTCCTCTTCTGCGAATCGTTGGTCGCATTGCCAGATGTGGGTGTAAGCGCGCCCGGAGACGCTATGAACGGCATTCTCGAAACCGGCGGCGAGGATGGCATAAAAGACAGATTTCGAGTAGGAGTGCGAGAAAATGGTCTCGGGGTTGTAACGTTCTTCGTCGGCGTATCTACTATGTGGTTGTCAGTGCCACGACTCCAGGCAATGCGGGTTTGAGATTGCGAACCGGGTTGTATGTCGTCTTCGCTACGAAACACGTCAGATAGATTCCACGCTCGATGTTGAATCACGATTCCGTTGCGGGTCTGATCGCGGCGGTGCAGGTGAATTGCCTCGAGATCGTCGGAGAATGATTCAGACGGTGGGTTTGTGTTGCCAGGTCCTTCCGAGTGGAGGTAAACGGCGGGGTCAAACGAGGATAGGAACGATGGCGAGGAGGGAAGCATTCAAGCGTTCGGACATTTCATGTCGTTGAATGGTCTCCGATGTAATCCCCCTCTGATAGACGCGCGACGCGTGCAGAACGCGCTAGTCCCGTTTTGGCCGCAAAGTCCTTTTACAGTCAAGACTTATATTGTATCTACAAGTGTACCCAATACTCAAACAATGATTTATTTGTGACTAGATTCTTTTCAAGGTTCAGCGTAAAGTTTAAAGCATTGAATTGTTTCACTAAAATCAGAACAAAAATGATGGAAATTTGGCCAACCAATCTTGGTTCCATCCTCTAGTAAATGGTATACTGTACGATCATTTAACAGATAAAAAAGGTACCAACCTACTCGATAGGTCGTGATACATAAGAGAAATTCGCGCGACCAACTTAGGCGCTCTTGAGCTTCTCGGTCAGCTCGGGTACCTTGTCAAACAAGTCACCGACGAGGCCAACATCAGCAACCTGGAAGATAGGAGCCTCGGGATCTTTGTTGATAGCAGCAATGACCTTGCTGTCCTTCATACCAGCCAAGTGCTGGATAGCACCGGAGATACCGGCACAGAGGTAGAGCTGAGGAGCAACGTTCTTACCAGTCTGGCCAACCTGCAGACTGTTATCGGCGAAGCCACTGTCAACAGCAGCACGCGAAGCACCAACAGCAGCGCCGAGGGAATCCGCCAGCGGAAGCATGAGGCGGTCAAACTCCTCCTTGGACTTCAAGCCACGGCCTCCAGACACAACACGTGTGGCTGTGGCGAGCTCCGGGCGTTCTGACTTGGCCAATTCCTCGGACACCCACTCGGTGAGCGCGGGAACGTTGGGGTCCACTCCGTCGACGACCTCGGCGGAGCCGCCCTCAACCTCGACGTCCTGGAAGGCGGTGCCTCGCACTGTGATCACCTTGATCTTGTCGGTTGACTGGACGGTCAGAATCGCGTTACCGGCGTAGATGGGGCGGACGAAAGCTGGATTATGGTCAGTTGCCGGATCACATGTCAAACTTCTTTCTCTTGTCACATACTGTCCTCGCTCTCGATACCGGTGATGTCCGAGATTTGCTGCACATCCAAGAGGGCAGCCACGCGGGGCAACACGCTCTTTCCAAAGGCAGAGTGGCCTGCAATGACGTGGGTGAATTCGCCCTTCTTGATGTTCTCGACAAGAAGAGAGGCATAGTTCTCGGCGAGGCCCTATGATGCAAGAAATCCAATTGTTAGCCAAAGCTCCTTCTACCGAAATTGATTTCAGAGGCTGCTAGAGTATTTACCTTCTCGTATGCGTCGTTGTCCACGGCCAGCACCTTCTCAACACCCTTGATCTTAGCAGCCTCGGCAGCGGAGGTGGCCTTCACACCAGAGCCAGCAACGAAGCCCGTTACTGAGCCACCGAGCTTCAGTGCAGCCGCGACTGCGGAAAAAGACGAAGATTCCAGCTTTCCATTGCGCTGCTCGAGGACGGCGAGGGTCGAGAGGAGGCGGGCAAGCGCCGAAGAAGTGGGCAGGCTAAGCTTCCGGGTGGGTTGGAGCTGAGCGCGGGCAGCCCGCAGGACAGAGTGCCTAGCGATTGGAATCATAATGACAACTTGGTAGAATGATTTTGCGTTGATCTTCCAGACATAAGAAGAAGAGCAAGATTAAAGCTCGGTGATTCGCGGTAAATGTTAATTTGGGTGGCTATCGTCGGCGTGCCAAGACTGGCTCCCCGAGGTCGGACTCGGTTAATGCGGCGGCGGCCATATAGCCCGATCGTTCTTCGAAATGACGCATGCGACGGCGATAAAAAAAGGCTAGACCTATTCCTCTGTTATGTTGTATGTCGATGCTTTAGTATTCCTACTGTTAGATTGATTTCAATTACTGGTATAAGATAAATTGTTGGAACAATAGATACGTGATATTTTGTACGCCAGAAATACCTTTACATGCAGAGAACATTAAGAGCTATAACCATCATGAAGTTGACTTCTTCTTCTTCTTGCCGCCAACCTTCGTTGCGACGGGCTTGCTTATGTCACCGTCCTCGAGCGCCTGAGCCTTGAGTTGCTGGAGTTTCTCTTTCCGCGCAGCCACGGATGCAGCCTCCTCCTCATCCTCTGCGGGCTTGGTCTTCTTGGTCTTCTTCTCCTCGAGCAGCTTGCCATCTCCAGCGGACTTGCGCTTCTTGGAGTCCTTGATAGCTTCAGTCTCAGGCGCAGCTTCCAGCACGTTGGCATCCTCCACCCACAACTCATCAGCGAGCCAGATAGGCAGGGCCATAGTGTTGGCACCCTTGATGTGAAGAGCCTTGATGTTTCTCCAGCCCTTTGCGACAAACTTATCGGTTAGACCGTTGACAACAGCGGCAATATTCTCAGATAGTTGCTCGGCTGTGAACTTGGACGAACCGACCCGAACGGCGGCGGTGGTGGATGGTGCGAGCTGCACGGCGGCACAGCTCAGGGTACGCTCGATCTCCTTGGCGACAATAAGAGGAGAGGCGAAAGAGGCGTTCTTCTCTTCCTTGGAGGAAGAGTTGTTCTTCTTAGTGTCCTTCTTGACCCGCTTGCCATCCGCCTTCTCGATCTCAGCGATACGAATGGGAATTGGGCGCTTGCTAGACTTGTAGAAGATCTTTCCGAGGGTCTGCACCAGGCGCATAGCGATACGGTCATCAGCCAGGAAGACATCGTGCTCGGCGAACAATTGGCGACGGCTCTCAAAGCTCTGGTAGCGGGCCTTCAATTTAGAGAAACCAATAACCTTCTCGATGCGGGAGGAAAGGCCCTGGGGGAAGGATGGGTCCGCAATAATATCCTTAACGCCACGCTGGGGGTCGGCAGTGATCAAACAGATACTGAGCGAGGGAGATGTGTTGAGAGAGTGAGGGATGCTGATTTTTCCGGGCTTCAGTCGGTTCTTATCCACTACATGCTGCTTGGTGGTGAGAACGAGCCAGATGGCTTCGTTCTTGGTCGCACTGTCCTCGCCATCGGAGTCATCGTCGCCAATCAGGGTCTTCTTGGTGTTGGTCTTCTCCTGTTCCTGTTGAGAAGACTTGATGTGCTTCAACAGCGCGGTGGAAGCTTTGAGGACCTAATTGAAATAAGATAAGTACTTTGCGAAATTGACTCTGGGGAGTTATTGGTACTAACCTGGGGCTTGTCAAGTTGGTAAGGGGAGCCCGAGGTCACCTTAGAGGTGAGTTGAGTAGTAGAGGAGCCCATTTTAGCAAGTTGTAGACTCGATGAACATCTCCAATTTTTTCGCAATCATATCGGGACTCAAAAAAATTCGGAAGGCGGTGGCAGTTCATCCGTGCTTGGCAGACCCCAGTTGGCGCCTGAGGCCTTATCGCACCGCTGTTATCGGTTATCCGCATAGCATTCAAATCAAGTCTGGCAACCAATTTTTATCTATCACTAGCCTCAGTGGAGGCACATTGGGCGAAATATGACGCTCGATGAACAATTCTGCACCTATCTGTCATCTACTAAGTGCGAATCTCGATTGGCATGTGCATCGAAGACAGGTTAACCTCGCTCGTTAGATATCCCATACGGAAATCGTGATAGTATATTTCGAAGACTCATAGGACTCGTAAATGATATCCATGTCTAAGAGATAAAGAGAAAAGTGACATAGAGTAGGATGACCGTGGCCACCGTCGAGATAGTCTATGCCCAAAGTCCGCCGATGTACTATTCGCCGACTCGAGTATGACATAGTAGTTTGCAACATCTACTTACCACCCCTACCTAAGTAATTTGAGGACTTACGCGTGATTTTCGGTTCTGACTTTACTATAGTGACATCAGGATTCCGTGCGGAGAGCATATTGTATCATCTATGGGAGTAAAAGCGAGGTGGAATCAAATGACGCGACTTGTACATAATATAGGTAGCTCTCCAGCCACAGCTCACATATATACAGAGGTCATGGGATTCTACGGAGCCTTAATCTTGTTCACTATGTCTCTGGGTATGAATGATTGGCTTAATTCCCTTTTGGAAGCAGGGTTTGATGTATGCAAGGGTACGAAGCGGCTGATGGACGTGTTTCAAGTAACCAGATGTGCAGCTGGAATAAACTCGAAGATTATCCCAGGTTTAGGCTTCTCCGAATTATCTAAAAATACTATACACCCTGGAAAAATCCCTCGCTTCTCCAGATACTAAAGGGATCTCACGAGAATCGATCGCCAAGTCCATCGTGGCTTGGATAACTATTTATAGACAACTGTGTTGGATCTCTGTGTAGATCAAACCGTTGTTTTAATATATGTTGATAGGCATCTTGACCCTATTTTAGCATCCAAACAAGCCGGATGTTTTGAATGTGCAGCGATGGGGAGGTGACTGAGTATGGGAAATTGCATGCCGCACGTCGGAAGACACAGAAGTAAGCGTAGCGAAACTCCACATCCACAATATATCATATATTGTAAGACCAAACGTCGGGAGTGACCGTGGGATGCCAGATTATTACCGAGGTTCGTACTCCGTACTTCTATGCTATATTATATGCTGTAACTACAACAGATATTGAAAACCCACACGATTAGGAATGAATGTTGGGTACTCCGTACTACTAGTGAGAGTCCATCCATTGCAGCTCCACATTAGTACTCTGTAAGCCGCAATAATGGAATTGAAAATGGAGCCTATAATTACAAAAATTAAATTAATTCTGATACGAACGGTGGTCCCCGAGAAGCCAAATTGTAGAAAGCCCCGTTTTTAATATATAAAATTGCTTGAATGTTAGCAGAACGGTATGATATTTGTCGAAATAGCTATAATATTCTCCATACGTACATAACCCAGAGAGCTGCGTAAACATCTTCGTATCATAGTTATACAACGTATGATACCTGAACATGCTTTCAAGCACAAACAAAGAAACAGGGGTTGGGTTGACGGAGGTTACAATTTTTGGAGCAGGCACCAGCTGAAAACAAAGATGAAAGAATCGGAATGATCGGAGGACGGTGGAGCTGAATATTTGGACCCGAAAAGGCAGGTGTGATGGTGTTGGCTCTGGTTGCTTACTTGGATACATGTAGCAATTGTGAATCGAGTACGGAGTACGTCAAAGACAAAGGCAATATCTTAATCAGATGCTCACCCGCCTCAGCCGAACTTATTGTATGGAGAACAAGCTGTCGGTTTTCCGCGTAGTTATTGATGCAATACATTTAGTGTAATTTCTTTAGTGTAATTTCGATTCAATTCTAGAGGTCTGCTAGAGCGTGCTATGACGCGGACCAGGCCGTGCCGTCCAAACAGTAGAATAAAGATTGCGGCGGATTGACAAGTCGGTCGGCTTCTACTCCGTAACTCGCCTATCATTGTTCCACTGGCTGGCCGATTATCGAAAAAGTGGATGGGCGGAGCAACTCTCGACTGCTAGAGGAGTATGGAGAAGTGCGTGAATTTAGGCAGTTCATGCGCGGAGTCGTCATCACTGCGGGCTATGATTATAGGTGAAAGTCTACTCATGAAGTACAGCGGACCAACGATATGAATAATCCGTTTTCTAGACCTCCTGGCTCTCTAGGTATTTATTTGTATAGTACTTGGGTCGTGGGCTGATATTTGAATCTTATTTGCGACGCATTGAGCAGGTCAGATCTGGTATGTTATTAAACTTGGTATTATTGGTACTAGGCTAGAATGTGTGTCCAGTTAAAGTGGAATAATAAAACCGGCAAACGCTAGCATCATCAGGGGAAATCCCCTTGCTGGCTACGCACACCGCACTGTAAGTCTTGGAAAAGCTGGGCGGAAGTAGATCGGTCAGGTTGTCCGGCTGCCAGGGGGTGAAAGTCTTATTCAAGCGTCTCCCTGCAATGATTACCTAGGATGCAACAGCAAAGAGCTGTAACGTTATAAGGGGGAAGTAACTTCAATAGCGTGTTGGAATGATGTTGTTTTCAAGAATTGAACAAAGCAGACATAATAATAAGTAAAATGAAGAACATCATCAAATGCTTCTGGTACCCATGGATACGCAAGGAATCTCGGCAGACCAACTGAATACTGATTGGTGTACCTGAATTATGGGGCCCAGAAAAGTGCAATACGTGCCTCTGATTGGCTGCCCCTGGCAGTTTTAATCTCGCTTTGGCGCCAAGCCGCAGGGACCAAAGGTAAACAAAAAAGAGGAACTGCCTCGCCCATGGATCATGCCGTTATAGAACTCCCCAGATGAAGAAAGAGAGACTGACTCGGTAGAAGTGCTCCGTATATAGAATGAACCCCTAGAAAGATTAAATGGTATCTGCCAAGCGAACAAGTAGCATCCAGACTCCGTCCAGGGTCCACTACCAAGGTAGGCAGTGTGAGACAGTTGTATATTGAAGCTGTATCCCGTACCTGCCCCTTTTCCCGTGACTATCACGCTAACGCTATTTGGACATAAACCGAATCGCCCCCCCTCCTTTTTGTCTCTCCCTGACTTCTTCTTCCCCAGTCTTTCCAACCACAGCCCTCCTTTCTTGAAGTTTTCTCACACCCGAGGGATTCGTTCTCTCCACATTCATTTGAAAACCGCTGTTCTTTACTCGACTCCGACAAACGCGCGACTACCTTTGAAGTGATGTATGTGCTATTTCCCGTTTATCTCTATATGGTGCAATAGCTTTCGCAATGTGGTGTGGTGTGGATTGTTGTTGTTGTTGTTTTTGAGCGTCGGTTGGGAACTATACAGACGATTCGAAACACAACAAACGCGATATATGGCTGCAGGGACTGAATCACGTCCAAGCCGCTTTACACCAAGGGGAATCATTGAACACGAAGAACTTCACATGGATTTTGACTCAACTAACACATTATGATCAACAGTTTCGCACTACCACTACAATGAAGTTCCAGAACACCGTTGCTGCGCTGGCGACGGCTGGCCTCGCGGCCGCTCACGGCCATGGTCACGGTCACGTCCACAAGCGCGCTGCTGAGACCGAGGCTTCGGCCGCCGGTCCAGTTGTGTATGATTTTGTTGTAATGGACCCGTCCAGTTCGAGCGACCCTCAATCGATCAGTATCGAGGAAGCCTGTGCTGGTCTCGCAAACCATGAGTTTGAGTGGCTGGACTCTGCCGTGGCTGCTGCTTGCCCATCTAGCAGCTCTGCCGCACCTACGTCGACTTCCGCGTCGAGCTCCACGTCCGCCCCTACAACAACCGCTACTGTTGCCCCTGCCATCCTCCAAGAGACCTCGGCTGTCATCATCCTCGCCAGCTCGACAAGCTCAGCCGTGGCCACCTCTAGCTCCACCACAGCCGCTGCTGCTACCAGCAGCTCTTCCAGCTCTTCCAGCTCTGGTGCCACCGGCCTCACCGCCGACTTCCCTGATGGAGAGATTGACTGTGGTGACTTCCCTTCGGATTACGGTGCTATCGCCCTTGACTACCTGGGTCTTGGTGGTTACTCCGGTATCCAGTATGTCACTTTCCTTGACGAGGTGATTAGCGACATTGTGACTGCCGTTACTGGTGACGAATGCCACCACGGTGCCATGTGCTCGTACGCTTGCCCACCTGGATACCAAAAGTCCCAGTGGCCTAGCGTCCAGGGTAGCACCGGCCAGTCCGTTGGTGGTCTCCAATGTAAGAGTGACAACAAGCTCTACCTCACCAACGACAACTACAAGCAGCTTTGCATCCCTGGTGTTGGCGGTGTCCACGTCAAGAACCAGATGTCCGACAACGTTGCCGTTTGCCGTACTGACTACCCCGGTACCGAGTCTGAGACCGTTCCTCTCTCCGCCGTTCCCGGTGTTGTTCACGACCTGACTTGCCCCGACGGTGAGGACTACTTCCTCTGGGAGGGCAAGGTCACCTCCGCCCAGTACTATGTCAACCCCAAGGGTGTGTCTACTGAGAAGGGTTGCCAGTGGGGTGACGGCACTGAGTCCATCGGTAACTGGGCTCCCATTAACCTGGGTGTCGGTTACACCTCCTCCGGAAAGTTCCTGTCGATCTTCCCCAACACCCCTACCACCACCAAGGCTCTCGACTTCAACGTTAAGCTTGAGGGTGACGACCTCAGTGATGAGTGCCGTTACGAGGATGGCAAGTTCTATGACTCCAACGGTCTGATCAGCGGCAACAGCGGCTGCACAGTAAGTTTTCCGAAACCCCCCGGTGTACAAATTTCCATACTAACGATATCTCCCAGGTCGGTGTCACCTCCGGCAAGGCCTATTACGTCTTCTACGACTAAATGTCGCAAGCGCTTTTTGGTCGGCGGCAGTCCTTACCCCGCCAAGCGAAATTCGATGAGCTTCCCATGCACTAGGGCGAGCAGAGCCACCGCTCTCATCTCACTTCCCTATGTGTATCTGTCTATATTCACGGCTTCTTATTCGAAGGATCATTATTTTTTTTTCTGTGTATCTTAAGTTTTATTTTGTTTTACGTGTGACTGGGCCCGAAATCCAATGCTCGTTGCACCTTTTTTGTTTATTTCTTATGACCACATTTACCCCCCAGGTCAGGCACATTCATGGGAGCGATATCCTTTTTATTTGACGGTTAGATTTCCTTCTTTATTTTCAAGTACCAATCAGTTCTTGATTTCAAATCTATCCCTCGTTCCCTTTCCTTTCACCTTTGTCCTGGTGACTAGAGGTTGGATCTTCCTTCCCGAATCCCGATGTTCTCTTTTGACTCTTGGTGACTTGGTTTATCCTGTGCCTTGCTTGAAATGAAAGGTTCGAGTGTATGTGTTGATTCAACGGGGGAAATTATGGCACACAGCTGGTTCTGTAACAGTCGGTCATCGGCTAGCCGCTCTTGAGTGATCTAGTCTAGCAGATGTGCACTGCCTGTCTTGAGTCAGATATCTTCCTCTACCTAACTATCCTTCGAATGATATTCCACATCTTTATTTCCTCTTCCATAATCAAGTATGCGTAATCAAGTATGCACCAGAGCTAGCTACATATTCCAACGACAGTCAATGTAGACCTTTCTTAAGATTCACGTTGCATAACCTGCCAGTGAACCATGTGTGACATATGAACTTAAGTATTTTCATATTTGTAATACCTCCCCACAATGTGAGGGACAAGCTAATTATTAATGTGGCGGCAAGCGCTTAGGATATGTGACATGTCGCATACATGATGAAACGCCAAATCTATGACCCCACCTCGATCGTTCCTTTGAGTTTCAAACAAAACCAAAAGCTTTCAGGAAGTATGCACCTACCTAGTTAGCTAGTATATGCTTCACGATGAGCGATGCGGCGCGCCTGCATGACGACGCATTTAGCAAAATTCTCTAGGACCGTCCCAACCAAGGCATGGTCTCCCTATTTGACTACTTCCCTGACAAGTCATATTCCAAGATCTCTCGTCATATAGACGCTACCTTTCCTCGATAATGGATGAGCTAATCTTCTTGTCAACGGTCAGTTAACATGGATAACCTCCAGAGTTTCTGAGCTATAGCCTATATGCTACCAGTGCGATAGGTGGAGTCACTTGGTGTCTCTGTCGATTACTGACATCATATGGTTTATATTGCAGAGGGCGCGCAGTCCGACAGCCAACCTTCGGCTCTAGTTGATTTCGGCAACGATGCTTGCTAAGAAGTGGCTTTGTGCTGGAGTGATTTATATCCCATTTATATCGAGGAGAAGAAAACTCTGCCTCCCGCTACCCAACCAACCGTCACAGCTAGAGCTCGAGCTCATATGGGAGCTACGGCAGGTATCTTTTAGATATTTGAGATCGATGCAGTATTCTTTCGAAAGACCCATATACTAGAGTTCATGGTTTGATTTTGGAAACTTTGAATGATAAGAGCCTGAACAGACCTAGTTGGACGGGAGCGACACTGTGATTCCAAAGAAACACCATATGAAAGCTGATTGAGGTGATCGAGTGCCGGCTTTGGGATCACTAGAAAGGCAAAAATGACCAAGTTGGAATAAAAGGGTGATATATATATCTATACAGGACCCAAGCGAAGAATACCATTCCGCAGCTCGGGGAGGTAAGCGGGCCAAAAGTTCAATCCAACAAGTAATATTACACTATAGAACTTGAGTACAACGTAGAAGCTTAGTTATGTCGGTCTTTATGTAATACCTCTGGTTGTGGATTTCCACTGTACCGTTTGATATAACCGTCCGTCAGACAGCCCACATGCGTTAGACCCATATATGTATTAGGCAAGGGGATCGGTTTCGCGAGAGGCAGAACTCCACAGCTGACATGTAGTCATTGAGATACGCAAATCATCCAAGAAAATCTTTCCTCATGCTCGGTTTCGTACAAGACCGGTCAAGTGAACTATACCAGAAAATATACCAAAAAATCAAACTACCCGAGGCCCCACCAGCACTTGTCAACAAAAAACTCAGTGCAAAAAATAGGGCGTTCGTGATTTTTTCCCGTAATTGATCAGGCTGGACGTTCGCTCATATGCCCTTGGAAGGAAAATCGGTTGGAATGACCAAAGCTCGAGCTAGAATGATACCGAGGTGGTCGGGCAATGGCTGGGAGACGCGACGAGGTAACCAGTGATCAATTCCGTATAGTAAGTGGGGGGTTAGGGGGAATTAGGGGGCTTGCATTTTCTGCTGGGAATTGTATGAATTCTGCTCCGTACGGAGTATACCCTAGTACTTGGTATTAGCTATGTACGAGTCTAGAGAAACTGCTTAAATTTCACCATTGACTCCTGATACTTGAATAGGCGTACTATGTAAGAGGGAATATAAGTTGCACTCGCTTTTTCGAAATCGTCCGAGGGGCTACAGGGTAAATAAGAACAATTTTGAGGTCATGAATACCATTCCTGACACAATAAACCTGGTTTACTGTCTCGCGTGGGGTCACGTGTTTTGAGACGCGGACGCGTTGCAGTGTATAGAGTTGACAGCAAAAGTTAAGAGGAAACAAACGTTTAATTCGCGCTTTTTCACGTTTTCGGCACTCTATTTACGAGTCATTCGCTGTACAATACACAAAGACAGCAATTGAAATCGCGAGCCTGCAGTGGAGCGTGGTTGGCGCCTATCGAACGCGTCTCGGACTGTAAGCGTGCATTTCCGCGCAGGGTGGACGAGACCCTCCGCCCCAGGGCATTCCACCACCACACACCTTTCGACCTTTTTCTTCAATGCTTCTCCTCCTTACTCCTTGACTACTTCCTTTACTCCCACCACACCTGTTTCTCTAGGGGAGGCCTTGCTGTCTTTCTTTCCTTTAAAATTCCCCAGGTTCCTCTCTGTGTTTGTATAACACGGAGACGCGGGTCCTCGACCTCGACTCAGGTTTTTTTTTATTTTTCGTGAGTAGGAGTGCTCGTTCGACTTCATCCCACCTTTCTACTATGGAGTCCTCTCCATTGAAGAGTCGAGTTGGCTCGATCTTGGGCGTGAAACGTCCTGCAGCCCTGCTGCCTGCCTTTGAGCCGAGCTCGTCGCCCTCCCTTCCTAGGCCTCAAAAGCGTGTAGCACGCGAACCAGATGTCTCGACGTATCCCACTCCGGTCCCGACCTCGTCGACCCATATCATGTCCTCTTCGCCTCCTCGTGGCGTCGCTGCCTCCCGACCTTCTCTGTCACGGTCCTTCTCCGCTGCCCTGGAACGCTCGCCTTTGTCTGCTGTGCCTGCGATAATGTTGTTGGAGAATGGGGAGCCTATTCTGATGGGAAGGTCCAGTGTCTCATGCCATCACCAACTTGCTGCTAGTCGTATGATCTCTCGTGTTCATGTCAAGGCTACATATAAGCCGGCTCCGAATCCATTCGATCGGGATAGGGTTGAGATCGTGTGCATGGGATGGAATGGGATAAAGATTCACTGCCAAGGGAGGAAATATGACTTGGCCAAAGGAAAGACCTTCACCTCGGACATTAAAGATGCAGATATCATGATAGATGTCCACGAGGCTCGTGTTCTGGTGCAATGGCCTCGCAGCGAACGAAGGGATTGCCCTTCTACCGACTCGGAACAAACCAGTGATGAAGCAACCCCAACTCAGCGGCGTCAATCCCGACGAGAGCCGCAGGAAAGTCCGCTCTTGGATCGTCAGCGTCTGGCATCGCCCGTCTCCCCTTCGCCTGCTGTCCAGCATGCCATCCCCCCATCCTCGCCAATCTTCACACCTTCTCGTTCCCGTGCTGCAGTAGTGGTGTATGAGGATGAGCCCTCTCCATTGAAGCGTCACAACACCGTCACTGGAGTGATATCCCAGAGTGCCCGTCGTGCTACCGCTATGCTTCACACCTCGCGGGCGAGCGAGTTGAGTGAACTGAGTAGATCCGAAGAGTTCTCCGACAATGACGAAGAGAATGATCCTATCATTCACTCCTTTGGACCATTCGGAGAGAACCTTCTTCCTCGTATGGCTTCTTTCCGGGCGGGTGATTCCCCCGTTCAGACCACTCGTTCTCCTCGCAACCTGCTTCCTGCCCAACCTCTCCAACCTACCCGGTCCCCTAGACAGCCAGCTACGGTCCAAGAGGATAGGGAAGTAGAGTCGACCGAGGCTAAACCCCAGTATACCGACGAACGGTCCGAGCGAGTTCGCAACCATGCTGCCAATCAACTTGCGTTCTCCCGACTGTCCTCCACGCCCTTCTCCACTATTGTGAACAATCTCCCTCCCGCGTACTGGAAGTCCGGACACGAGTACCCCACCGGCCTGTCCCGGTCTGATATCCGCAATATTCTCGAATCGACCAAGTTTATTGGCAGAGTTGCCCGTGAAGGCAAGGATGCCGCCGGCAAGCCACTTGAGAGTGAATATTACTACGTTCCCGATGAGGATGATGATACGATGCGACGATCTGCTGTGGTGGATGATCTTCGGAAACCAGGCCTGCGCAACTGTCGGAAGCAGCACAAGGTGAGTACCTCCATATCTATACATCTATTCATGTACCCGAACCCCGCTGACTTGTGTCTAGCAATACTTCTGGCGCAAGCCCAAATGAATCATTGACCGAAAAAGTTCCTATGTCTTTCCACCGTCGGATGGATGTTCTCAGTACATATTTCCAGTGATTCTTGGTCTCCCTGGCTGCTGGGGGGACTCGCATAGCGTGGCGTGAGGCATACCCTGATTTTAATTCATTATTATCAACATCCTTGTTGTTTTTCTTGCCTTGTTTTTTTCTTGTATGCCATTTCCCCCCCCTGTTTTTTGGACTTATCTCCTTGTTATACCATCAACCTGTACGATACTCTGGTCTCCCAAAAGCGCGTCTATATCGTTTTGGGCCTTGGATATCCCGAAGTTGGTTTCTCAACGCGTCATGTTACCTTTGGCCATCATTGGCCTTTTTTTTTTTTTTTTTGCCTTGATATCAGTTGTCCTGATACCGGCTCTCATGTGTCACAGATGTCTGTTTGGAGAGATGCTTCACCAGCTTGACCCTGCCAGAAGGAACTGTTCAAGTCACGTGCTCTTCGACTATATGTATCCTACCTTTGCTTTTGCCTTGTTGGTTTTGCCATTTGTCCGTTTGCTTTCCAATGGTTGAACGTACTCACGACTGTATGTTAGCTCGTCAATTTCAATATATCTGTTCGAACAATTACCTTGATACTGTCCGTAGATAGTTGTTATGTCTTGGCAGCTGGAATGAAGTCCGGTTGAGAATATAGCATTACAATCAATCACCGCAATCATCAAGCATTCGACTCGCCTAGATCCCCGGTAATACGGCAAATACAGGCTCATGTACGAGTACGTATACTATCACTGCCAAGACTTCCAATTCTTGGTATATTGCTATTGTGCGAGAGGGAATTGGTGTTCCTTTGTACAACTGCCATGTCAGTTCCACTCCCACCCGATATCGTCGCCACCCGCACGTCACCACTTTCGCCCATATCAAATACCTGATTGTTGTGACAGGTCCTTGATCCCCATGGACGTATGGATCACCATTGCCGAATACCGTATGATCCGACCACACGACAATTAGACTTTAAATACCCCGCACCGAAGAAATATAAAAGGACAAGCAGATAAGCTGGGAATATACTGAAGACGAAGACTAGTTTCTCCACCACACACTATTCTCCTCTATACCACAAGCTAGCTTCAAACCAGCCACTGGCAACCATCTACGTCCAATTCTACTACATATTACTCTTATCCACACTCGAAATGGCATCAAACAATCACAATGATAACCACGGCAAAGTCCCAGCCAGCAAAGAACAAATCATCATTCTCCCTTTCGCTCAGAGCCATAGTCCTTCAAACACTACCGGGTCACCGGGTCCCACCACAGAGGAACTATGTGAGAAGTGCTGGAAGCCGGCTTTAGCTCGCCAACATAGCTGGAGCAACGAGGACCGCAAACACCAGCTGCAGAAACGATTGCAAGGGCCGCAAAAGGGAAGGGAAACCGGGTTCACAGAGGCGCATAGTGGGGATCAAAATAGCCCGAAACAGCATTTAGTGCTGCGATGATCGTCCTTTTGATGCATTATAACTCATGGTGGGACCTGGCGAAGTGGGAGGTTTGGGACAATGAATTGATAGACTTGTAAATTGCGAATCACAAAAGGCGTTGAAGGCGAAATTGAAATTGAACTCGGACTCAAACTTGAAATTTGAATTCAAAGAACACACACGAGAAACGAGAAAGGGGTTAAGAGATGAAAGTAACTAGGTGAAGTAGGTACAAGAAGTTATCGCACAAGTGGTGGATAAGCAAATAAAAGTCCGCCTTCACCTCCGCTCTCCGCCTTTAGACCTTTGGACTTTTAGACCTTCGACCGGCTTCGCTTCACTTCAAAGCTTTGAGCTTGGTGCTGTTCTCTTATTATCTCCTTTTACCCCAATGTGGCATTCACGTCACTTATGCGCTTTCCTCTCGGACATTCAGAAAGGACCCCACGATTGAGCTTGTAGCCATGGATCGCCAACGTAAAAGTACGGGCTACCACACCTCACCTTGGAGATATTGACTGACATGTCGCGTTTTTATTGCAGGGGAGCTTCGCGACCTGAACGAGCGAGCCTGGGCAGGCGAATCTGGTAAAATCCCATCTGACTCCCTTTATGACGAAATGCCATTGCAGCCCACCTTCGAGATGATGCTAACCACTTGCAACTAGATGTATTCCCCACTAGCAAGTCCCTTGACTCCGCGCTCAAGAAGAACACCGCATTCATCAAACGTCTACGCACCGGCATCAGTGCCTCCGCCCTTTCTACTTTCCTCGCCGACATCCGTTCCCTCTCGCTCCACAAATACCTTTCCGAGATCATTTCCGCCTGCTACGAAGGACTCTGCAAGCTCAAATCCCCCGGTGAAATTGCCGCTGGAGTCGAGGTTGTGAGCGCGCTTCACCAGCGTTTTGGGCCTTGGGAATTCACACGACAGATCGGCTGGCTGCTCGGCCGCGGACTGAGTACACCGGATAAAGCGCAGCTCAAAGCGCTCAGTCAGGAGATTCGTGAACGCGAAGAGAAAGACCGCCTGTCTCGACACCGCGTTCTTCTCCGCGTGGTTACGGAGCTTTGGCTGGTCAATGTGCTGAAGACTCTCGATGACGTCGAGCGACCTGAGGAACTGGGTGCGAAGGGCAAGGAGGGAGCAGTTGGGATTGGGAACAAACCGTCCGATACGCCGCTGAAGGCCAAGACCCCCGCCGCGGGCGCGAAGGACCAGGACAAACAGGCTGACCCGTTCCCATTGGAGGTTCTGAAGGAATTGCTCGGTCATGACCGTGATCATACAAACCTGCCCCTTGCTGTCTTGTTTGTGAAGAGCTTTAGCTGGGATATCGTCGGCTCGAAGCTTGCTGAAGATGGCAGGAAAACCGTTGAGGCGGATGGCGCTACTACAATCTCTGGCGCAGAGGCGCAGACTACGGAGACCAATGGGTCCTCGGAGACCGATTTGCCCCTGACTCCAGAAAAAATCCAGCAGCGGTTCAGAAATATCTTGAACCGGTACCTTGAGGATGTGAAGGCTCACGTGGTTCGAGACCAGAGAGCGCTGGCACAGCAAAACCGCCGTAATGCCGAAGCGTACGTGAAGAGTGGTGAGATCTTCGAGGACCGCCAGGCCAATTTTGAGAAGCAGTCCAAGGTCCTGGAAAAGCTCGTGGCCAATACGCAGGTGCTCTGTGAGGCTTTGGGAACCGACATGCCTGATCTAGCCGAGAAGGAACCCACCGATGCTTCTGCCAGTGGTGGTATTGGCCTTGTGAAGACTACTGATTACTTACGAGGCCAAGGTGAAGGCGCTGGGATTTGGGAAGACGAGGAGGAAAGACGTTTCTATGAGAATCTGGTCGATCTGAAGGGCAAGGTACCTGCGGTTTTACTCGAGGATGGCAAAAAGAAGAAGAGTGAAGGCGAGGAGTCTGGTAAAAAGAAGCCAGATGGTGAAACCGCCGATTCTGGAGAGCCTTCGGACGAGAAGGCCGCTGCGGAGGCTGATGACCAGTCAACTGCCATTGCCAGCAAGACTGTGGGTGCTCAGGTGGACTCCCTTCTTGCCAAGCTCCCCGAATTGCAAACCAAAGATCAAGTCGACCAGTTTGCCCTGGATTTCTGCTGGGTCAACTCCAAAGCATCACGAAACAGGCTTATCAAAGCTGTGTCGGACATCCCCAAGGGTCGCATCGATCTTTTGCCACTGTATTCTCGCCTGGTAGCAACGCTTGGACAATACCTGCCAGATATTCCACAGGGACTGACCACGTACCTCGATGAAGAATTTCGAAGTCTGCAGCGGCGAAAGTCCAAGGAATTCCTCGGTCAAGTACGCATGAGCAATGTTCGCTACCTAGCTGAACTGACCAAGTTCGGTGTCGTTCCGGAGCATATTATCTTCCATTGTTTCAAGGTTTCGCTTGACGAATTTTCGCGCATGAACATTGAAATCATCGGCCATTTGCTGGAGAATTGCGGCCGTTATCTCCTGCGCAATCCCGAATCGTCACCCCGGATGGCTTCTTTCCTCGAGACCTTGAGTCGCAAGAAGACCGTGCAACATCTGGCCCAGCAGGAGCGGATGGTTATCGAAAATGCCATCTACTATGTTGACCCCCCACCGCGCCCAGCGATCCAGCAGAAGGAACGTACCCCCATGGAGCAGTACATCCGCCGACTAATCTACCTGGATATGAACAAGCGGAATTACACCAAGATCTTGAAATCCATCCGCAAACTTCACTGGGAGGAGCAAGAGGTCGTTGAGATCCTAGAACGTGTGTTCAGCAAACCGGTGAAAGTGAAATATGGCAGCATTCACCTTCTGGCAATTCTTGTCAGTGCTTTGTACCGGTACCACCAGGATTTCGTGATCGGAATCGTCGACAATGTCCTGGAGCAGGTCACGCTTGGCCTCGAGCAGAATGACTTCAAATTTAACCAGAAGCGTATTGCAGAAATCAAATATCTAGGTGAGCTCTACAACTACAAGATGATTGATTCCCCGGTGATATTCGATACCCTGTACCGCATTATCACCTTTGGCCATGAGGGTGGGACTCCGGCCCGTGGAAAGATCAGTATGCTAGACTTGCCAGACGACTACTTCCGCTTGCGCCTGGCATGCACCCTTCTTGACACGTGTGGCCACTGCTTTGACCGTGGCTCTGCCAAGAAGAAATTGGATTTCTTCCTTGCCTTCTTGCAATACTACTTATTTACCAAGGATCCGTTGCCCATGGATGTCGACTTCCTTGTCCAGGATACATACCACTCTATTCGCCCGCAGTGGAAGCTTGCTACCGAGGGTGAAGAAGCGACCCGGATTTTCAGCGAAGCTGTTGCCTTGAACTACAACGTACAGGATTCCGAGAGACCCGTCGAAGCCGACGAAGAAGACGCAGAGAGCAGCTCTTCTGACGAGGATCTTGAGGAGGATGCTATTCCCGAAATAGACGAGGACCAGGAATCCAGCGATGAGGCCGAAGTAGGTCCCCCATCTCATCTACATGAAGTACGACCCATTAACCCGTTTAACCCGTTGAAGGTGTCTGGACCCAACCCGGAGGCCAATGACGACAGCGATAGCGAGTCCGAGGACGAACAAATCGTTGTCACCAGACAGGAAGAGGAGCGCGACCCAGTAACCGAGGCTGAATTTGATCGAGAATTCGAAAAAATGATGGCCGAAAGCATGGACTCGAGACGGTTTGAACGCAAGACTGTCTTTGATATCCCTCTTCCCATGAAACGTCCCCGGGAAAACATGCCCAGCGAGTCTAGCCCTGAGCCAGTACCGGCAGAACCAGTTGCGCCTAAGACAATGGCCTTTTCCCTGATGACAAAGAAAGGAAACAAGCAACAGGTAGTATTTTCCATCCGCGTTCGCAATATTATGCCGATTGCTAATCATATCTAGACCCGCACCATTGATCTCCCGTCGGACTCGACCTTTGCTATTGCCATGCGGAGCCAGCAACAAGCCGATCGGGAAGAACAGCAGCGCATCAAGAACCTGGTCCTGAATTACGAGGCGTCGACCGAACCCGAACCCACCGAGAGTGAGCAGTATCCCCTAGTTAACCCGAATAAGCCCCAACTGAGACATACCAAAGCAGCAACCCAAGAAAAGCGCACCCCCGCCAGCCAGCGGATGGACAAGGCCGGCGCGAACCGGTCCGCCTTCCGTTCCCGCAAGCTCCAGCTCAGCGACGTCAACTGGTAATGAATGCTGCCACTATCTGGACTGAGGTCCATATTCCATATCTTCACTTGACACAACAGCCAGCGCCTTTCCCCCATGGAAGGCGGCCGTCCCACCGTGGATCTATTCTTTCGTCTCTGCACTACCCAGTGTGAAAAGCTCTTGGTTCAACCCAATGAGCTTATTTCTGGTTGACGTCGCACACAACGCGAGTAGGCAATGCCGTATGAGTATGACCAGGAATCCGTTCTTGCTAATGGAATCTACCCCGTCGCGAATGCCATCGAAATGGATGCACTCCTCTTGCTGCCCGTGATCCTTCTTTAATCGTTTTCCCATCCTGATTGGGGTTCCTGGACTGGGTCGAGGGCTCGATGTTACCCGCATACAGAAACCCAAATCCCGATATGGTCGCCAATCATCAATTGCCTGGCGAAAGACATCACCACTTTGCTGCCCTCTTGTGAAGATCGTACACTATTCGATCTAGGGATGATGGTGTTCAAATGGCTCCGAGAAGTAGAGAATGAATCAGACTGGATGACACAAATATCAATTTTATGCCGTAGGTGTATCTTTTAGCCATGATCTCTAGTCTTTTGTCTAGCAGCAATCAATGTAACTGGATCTCTTTGAACGAAGATAAAAAAACGAAGGGATTGCTTTTATCAAGTAATGGTGTTAAATTGCCCTCTGACCTCTCCTTAATATGGTGGGCTGAATGCATTTGTCTCAAAAGCTATGCTGAGTTGTTTTGCTAGACGGCACATTATTTCACTAGCATATTAGCGCTCAAACAGTTGAATCTAATGATACTTGTTTCGCTCCGAAAGATCTGTGTTCTCAAGATACACCTCGATCTAAAGAAAAGAAGCCCATTAGTTTCTCGGTGATATATCCCCGAGTAGAAAATGACGTCACTCACTTTGTTGGTCATCTTTGAATCGACATCCTTGCAGCATAGACAAGCAGCAAGACCCAGGATGCCAAACGCCATCGATACCATAGCCACAACACTGGAAGAAACCATTAGAAACAATTCTTTCCTACTGTTTCCTGCGAAGAGTGCGGGTAAGAGATATGTGAGTATGTGTGCTTACAACATCGCTTTACAGTAGGCCTGACTAAGAGCCGCCTCTGCTGCTGTCACCACGGCAGGACTATATGATTTCATTGCCGCGGCACCTTGAGATACCACAGCCAATAAGTCTGCGACCTTCGACTCCGGCAGTCCTGCGGAGATCGCAGCGGAAGGGACATATATAGCCGTATATTTCGCCAGAGTGTTACTGTAGACTGTTTGGTAGATTGAGGTCGCAACTAAAGGCGAGGATTAGCATGATCCAACACGACAGAGTAATAAAGTCAAAACGTACCAGCTCCAGCAGCAAAGCGAATGCACCCCGATATACCACCACTAACACCGAGATTCTTATGCTCAACACCCATCTGCGTAATCGCAATACTCAAATAAAGAGCCCACCCAAACCCAGCCTGAGAGAGGAAGATGAAAGCAATCATAGTCCCCTTATTAGTCGGCGTAACAATACCAAGCAACGAGCCAAAAACAACCATAACAAACACCGACCCGGTAAGCTGCCAGTGCCAATGCCGCAGCTTACTACCAAAGCAGGTGAGAAGGATAGCACCGAAGAAAATAGCGAATCCCTGCGGCAACGACAGAATGACAGAGTACTTCCAGTCCGCGCCGCCATTCGTGTAGAACACTGTGATCATCTGCGGCCACAGGATGCTAGACGAGTAGTAGAACATATTGACGACGCCGAGCGCAATGACAGGCGCAGTGAAGTCGCGGCCCCACGAGCTAGCGAAGATATAGGTGGGCGTCAGCGGGTATTTCAGCTTGCCAAAGGATTCCCACAGCGCGAAGCAGATGAGCACAGCCGCGCCGACGACGAGGGGGGCAACGACGTGGACGTCGTTTGAGTCGTACACGCCGGCCCAGACAATGCCCATTAGGAAGGGGACTGCGCCGCCGATGAAGAGGAAGGCGCCTAGGTAGTCGAGGGATTTGAAGGCTTCTTTGTACGGGATGCCGAGGCTGGGTGTGTGGTTAGTTTGGTTGGTTTCACTGGATTTAGGCTTGGAAGCTTGCTTACGGGTGCTTGGGCGGGTGGTAGAGGAATAACAGGCCGAGGAATGATAGACCTTGGAAGATGGCCACGCCCCAGAAGTTCCAGGCCCAGGTTCCAAGCTCGTAGCCGTAGCGGGCTGTTACTGGTGCGACAATGACGGCTATATAGACTGTGAAATCGGCGATCACGACTCCGATGTGTCGCCATTTATTGGGGAGGAGTTCTGGCAGCGCGAATGCAGCCATCTATATGATGAATGATCTTTTAGCTGGTCCACTTGAGGAGAGATGGGTATAATCGGGCTCATACCTGACAGTTTGCACCGCCGAAACCAGATATAACGAGCCCGGCAATGATTTGGTTGGTGTTCTTTGCTGATGCTACCACAATATGACCGACGAAGCATACCTAAAGGAATGTTTAGACGCGCCATGTATTTGGTTGCAATGATCGAATTACCAGATTGCCCAACACCAAGAACCAACGCCGACCTAAAAGATCAGTATTCGGGCCACTGTGAAATCTAATTAGTTTTGGACTTTGAAGATATATCTTATAAACATACAAGATCAAGAAAGCGCAGGTGATCGAGATAGTCCAAGCCTGTAATTGGATTAGTACTTTCCATTGGATCGTTTGAATCATCTTTACACACTGGGATAAACCAGATATATCCAGTCGGATCACCCATGTCAGCAGAGACCATGCTGCCAATTGCCGCAACAACGGGAATAGGCCAGAAAGAAAGGCCATAACCGCAAGAAAGAATCTATGCGCGATTAGCATGCACACCATAGTAGACTTGTCATATGCATACCGAAGAGACAATCCATGTCTTTAAAGTGACAACTGGCTCAGTTATTTCATTGGAAATCGAAGGTGAGCTTGGTGTCTCCGTTGGAGAACCAGCCTGCACCGAACCCTTTTCTGAGTCCACAGCCATGCTGCAATACAATAATGCAATGGGTGGAAAAGGGGGGAAAGGAAATATAAACAATTTTAACAATTAACTTCAACCATACTTTAGTTATATGAAGAGGAGAGGGGCTTCCCAACGGCTTAGGATCCACTACAGTATGAGGAAAAACCCCCGAGCATTAAGTCGTACACTATGATCCGGTAGACTTTCGTTTCTTTTATCCTCGATAAAAGTTATTCTTTCCTCATTAACTCTCAAACGTTATCGCATCTCAGCTCGTATGATGGGTTCACATATTGAAACACGGGTTGCTATTGTCGCAGGGGCCACTGTCAGTACGAAACCAACTACACAGGACCCGCTATCAGTCACTGACAAAGATCCGTACAGTCTGGAATGGGAGTTGATCTCGCCAAGGACCTCTGCACAAAAGGATGGAAGGTTGCTTGTGTAGGTCGGCGCCAGGAGGCCGGTGAAGCCCTCCTAAAAGACCTACCGCAAGACAGAGCGCATTTCTTCGCCGCTGATGTCTCCAACTACGAAGAATACGCGAGTGTATTCAGCAAAGTGTATCACCTCTGGGGGCGTATTGATGCTTTATGTGCCAATGCCGGTATTGTCGATACATCTTCTATCTACATCTACGACGCGAAGACCAACAGCATCGACAACATCCCGCCGGCACCGGACCTGTCTGTCGTGGATATCAACTACAAAGGCGTTGTGTATGGGACCCAGCTGGCAATCCATTTCATGCGCCATAACCCGCAGCCTGGTGGTCGTATTGTTGTCACGGGTAGTATTGGCGCGATCTTTCCCCACGAGTCGTATCCGGTATATTGTGGCTCCAAGGCTGCGGTAAACCACTTTATACGGGGTGTTGCCCCATTGCTGAAGCAAAAGGAGAATATTTTCATCAATTGTGTCATGCCGGGGATTGTGAGCACGCCTATTGTGCCACCCGAGATGATTGCCGCTGTCACGCCTGAATGGTAAGATTTTGTGTTGCTCTTGAACATTGCAGAACACTGACATCACTTTGAAATTAGTCTCACCTCTGTGCAGACCATTCTCAAAGGCTACGAAACCTTCCTAGAAGACTCGACCGGCCTGTCGGGTCAGCTGTTAGAGTGTTCAGCCGACAAGCTGATCTACTACCAGATGCCTGAACCTGGAAATGGCCATATCACCAAGCGGGCTGTCACGGTCTGGGAGCCACTGTTTCGTATCATGCACGGGGAAGACTCTGGGCTTCCGGATGCTATTCCGTGAGCATATCGGAAGAGTTACCTGTAGGAAATAATACAGTGCATTTCATCTATTCTAGCCCGACCCACGGAGTACTACTGCCCTAACGGGCCAAGCGTCATAAAAAAGTACAGATAGGCTCCACCACTAGCACGGTCTGCGACGATCTTCACCCCCAAGCTCAAAGCCCAAGCGAGCCAATAATAGCTTTGTTCGACTCCGTATTGTCGCATTCGTCTTGTCCGCGGCAACAGGGGTCTTCTCTTCCGCGTGGGTCTCCAACGGCGGAAAATGTGATCTATCACATGTAATATCTGAGTGAGAGCTCGTAAATGGTGCTGCCGCTCTTGCCCTGAGAAATCGAAATCCACTCTCATCGGTACTGGCCCGTGTTTTTTCCCGCTTCAACGCTCTGCTCGTGACTTGGCCCCTGTAAAAGTGACCCTTCAAGGAAGTGGCGCTCGTCCCGGACGGCCCGTCCATGCCATTTATGGTTAGAAAACATAAACTGGACGAGAGTCGATCGAGTTCAATCTCGCGTTCACTACTTGATTGGTCCATGTGATCGAGAAATAAATCCGCAAAGGAGGTTCCAAATCGATGACTCGCTTAAACCCCTGCAAGTATAAGTGGAGTATTTCCCGTGTATTTTTCTGTTCGTGTTTCTCGTTGGGGGCCATTTCTGTAGAATTTCCCCTTTTCTGACTGTATTTCATTGAAACTTGGCCTATTTTGTTCTGTCATAATGAATCTCCAAAATAGGAAGCTCAAAAGAAAGATGACAGACAAGCCCGAAGACTCCAACATCGTAACGGGGATAATTATGTAATTATCGCAGAGATCTAAACACCAGCACCAATAACAACTTACAAGGCTAACCAATTTTGCCTAAGTGGTACCGATGATCTTGCAACATACGACATGATATATTATATCTCCATACGGAACCAGTTCCGCCATCTAACAATTGAGAACAGCACCCACTTGGTTTTCGACCACCGTCGCCTCCATCACCTCACGCATACCATAATCACAAAAGACATGCTGATCCCGGAAATAAAACCCGCTATCCGAGATCTCCACTGCAACTCCGTACAACTCCTCCAGGGGCAGATGCCTGCCGGGTGTATCAGTCAGTCCCCGGCCCGCGGGTTCACCACCATCCACGAGCTGGAGCACTAGCCGGGCGATCGTTTCCACATCGATGAACCGACCAGGCGGAAAACTGTCCCAGCCCGTCGAGTCGACTAGATTAGTGCGTACGATTCCTGGGCAGATGGCGTTGACGCGGATTCCGCTTGCGTGGAAGTGTCGCGATATCGATCGCATGAATCCTACTACGCCGACTGTATTGTGTTAGTTTCGGTCGTTTCAGCAGAATAAGAAATAACATTGTAGATGATATGAGATCGCAGCCAACAGATCACATCGATATCATATGACGGTACAATAGTACGCGGGGATACGGAGTACATGGATACTGTACAAATTAGGTGGAGAACTCACATTTGGCCGCAGAGTACAGCGGCGAATAGAAAGACGGATACAACCCACCACAGCTAGCAGTCATAACCAAGCTCGAGTCTCGGCCTCTGTGAGACGAGTGATGGAAATAATGCTGGGCCAGGTAAGCCGTGAAGATGACACCCTTCAAATCAGCGTCGATCGAGAGCAGGTCCGGCTCCGGCGGTGGACACACATCCCTGCTGTTCTCTGCTTGTGACGTGGAGTAGAAGTTGGTGCGTTCAATGACACCTGCGTTTGCGAATACAAAGTCCAGCTTGCTATGCCGCTGGAACATGTCCTGAAACGCGGCTGCAAGGTCGCTGTATTTGGTCACATTGGCGTGATGGAATATTGTCCGGGGTAGTTCTTTTGCTGTATGGGCTCCTCGCTCCGAGTTGATGTCGAGGATGTGGATTTCCCAGTCTTCGCGTAGGGATAGAGCGTTGGCCACGGCCAGGCCCATTCCACTGGCTGTGTATTTAGTTAAGTTTAGCCTCTTTTTGCATTCGTGAGTTTTATGCGGGGGCTCATCACACCTCCTCCTGTGATTAATGCGACTTTGGTCATTTCCCAGAGATTTCTTGATTTCCATGAGTTTCAAATCAAGCTACTTGGGAGAACTCTTATATCATTCGTAGGTTCTTCGGATGGCTGTGTAGCAATGAATCCGTACCGGGTTGTGATTGTCTTTGCCATCAATCTCCACAGCTCTAATTATTTCTTGAGCTAATAATCTCTCACGGAGTCAGTCCGGGCAATGTCCGGGCTCCTGAAAAGATCAGCCCTATTATTTGTCAGGTAACATTCGGTTTTTTGACAGCTCCCCTCGTTGGATTCTTCATATTTGAGAGATGAGGTATAAGCTGTTCAATACTTGACTTGGAGTAAATCAGATATGCCCCAGATGCACGGCTATCCTTTGGATCTCTATTCTTGAAATCGGGACAATCGAAGTCCTTGAATCCACAACTCAGTCCTTTGTCGCGGGGCAATACTCCGTACTCCGTAGTTCCCGTCCCATTACACCTGCAGTAAATTTGGTGCCATCTTAGACTTAGACAAGGGTATTACTGTCAGAAAAATCTAAAATCCTTGCTAAAATCCTTGCACAAATCCCTGTCAAATCTTTTTTAGGAATGTGCCACACGATTGCGGAAAATATCGGCATGTTGTACAGAGTAGTAGTGTCCCTAATCACCGCGACATCAGAGTGATTATAAGCAGCGAGATTATCTATCACTTGCCGACGATACCTTATGCTAGCGACAAATCCCTCGAGTTTGGTGAACTGAACAGCAGAGAGACTGATCCTACAACGGATGTGTTTCATAGACCTTTGGCCTGATCTTGAAGTAGATCGGAGCGAAGATACCTAGCGAGGCTTATGTTGTAGTAAGAAGCTGGAGGTGATAGATCCAGTCTGATCGCACCGTTTCTGATCAATTGAAATTAATATCGGGAGATCCTTTCTCCATAGTGTTATATCTTATTGTCAAGGCATCCAAGATTGCTTTTGTCACGAACGGACATTGTCATTGTTTTGAATTTTCACCATGTCCGCCGATGCCTTGACAGTCGAGACTTTCACTGAATATGGAATTGGCATGCTCTTCCTCTTAGTCCGGCTATTTGCCCGACTAAATATAGGAGGCCTTCGCGGGCTCCAGCTGGATGATGCTTTTGCTGTTGCTGGCATGGTATGTTCAGTTTCCCCAAGCTTCACTAGGTTTGTTTTAACAGTGTCATGGCAGCTATTTTGGACCACGATGACTGCTATCATCTATCTGCTGGGTAAATACCAACGATAATTACCCCTTACAACACAGCTAACGTTGAGATAGGGGTGTATGGAAACAACATCGGACTAGACGAGCAAACAGCTATGCTTGTCCCAGACAGCAAAATATCTGATATGATCCTCGGATCGAAGCTGGCTTTCATGAACTGGATATGGTACATCTGCTATATTTGGTGTCTAAAGGGTGTTCTTCTATGTCTTTACTGGAAACTCACGTATGTCAACTTGTCACCCATCAACGGTCTATTGAGCATATCTAAGACTTCACAGACACGGAACCTGGCACCGTCACCTAGTTACAGCAACTGCAGCATTTTGCCTGATTACCTGGTTGATTTGCCTCTTGACGCATGTCTGTATCTGCAGGCCAGTTGAGCGAAATTGGCAAATCAAACCCTACGCAGGAGGCAAGTCTCGATAGTTATTCACCCGACAGCCAACTAACCGAAACAGACAACTGCACTCTCCGCGGACCTCTTTACATTGTCATCGCCGTCTTCAACGTAGTGCAAGTCACCTCCAAAAGGCCCCAGAGCCCAGAACCCCATACTAACACTATGATAAACAGATCCGACACCTGCATACTCCTCATCCCAATCCCAATCCTCGCCAAACTTCAAATCCCAATCGAACGCAAAATAATCCTGGTTGTGATGTTCTCCTCGGGAGTCTTCATTATGATCTGCACGATTCTACGCGCCTACTACTCACTTTCATCGATCACAAACCTCGGCACAGCACTTGGCTGGGCAGACCGCGAATGCTTCGTCGCAGCCATCGTCGTCTCCCTACCCGGCATCAAACCGCTCTTCCGCAACACGCGCTGGCTGGGCTCGACGAACCGCAAGAACTCTAAGAGCCACTACTACAACAGTGATGCGTGCAATGGAACTTCCGGGAAGACGAAGACGTTTGTTTCGTCGCGGTCTCGGAAGAGTGGCGGGTTTGAGCTGGACAGTGTCCTGAATGCAAATAAGGCGAGACGCGCTTCCGGGGCGGAAAGTGAGGAGTATATTCTTGAGGGAAATCAGGGCCTGGGAGTTAGTGATGGACAGCATGACCCCATGGCTATTCGGGTCACGACGGAGTATACCCTTAAGCATGAACAGGGGAGTTCTTAAAAGGTGTGAATTAATTCCGTTTGTATAAGTGACGGAAAATTTCCAAGGTGGAGAGTCCTCACTGTCACTCTACCGATATTTGTAATGTGGCGAGAGTGCCATTGTGACATTGTCTGGTCAACATGATCCCATCATCAATGATATGCTGAAATTACGATGCTGACTTTGGTGCGAGTAATTACAAACTTGTTTTGTTATATTCGTTCTTGTCAATCTTCGGCGTTTTGGGAGTCCATACCTCTTCAGTGTCTCTTGGCCTGTTCTCGTGATTCTTTATGACCCGACGAGTTCTCAGTTTTGCCAGTTGAGCGGTCAAAATCTTACAATTACCCAATGATATTCTTCAACGTGTACAGTTATTAGTCGAACGAGTGATTATCCCGTCTCAAACCGGACAATGGGTGGCGCCGCCAGCCGCCTCGGTTTGGCCACACTTGCTGTAATCATGAGAAAATCAGATACTGAGTATCGATGGGCTTCAATATGCCCCGAACGATCGTACTCCGTTCGCGCGCGTTCAACTCCTTTTTTGCTGTTTCACTCTTAAAATAGAGCAATGATATAATTGAACCGTTTTACTTTTATTCTCGCCATCCACCGAAGGGATTTGCTCAATGATCCACTCGTGGCCCTTTGGTACTATGCCGAGGACCGAGGCTGGCGGCCCGTAGATGCGCGGTGGATAAGTCGCGGTACCGTAGACGCCGTCTACTAGACGGTGACTCATTGTAACCGCCCCGAGGATCTCCCGAGGTCGGACTGAGGAGAGATATGCGTAGGTAATTGGAGTGTGCAAATTCAAGATCCTTCGGTCTATTTGGTCCTAAAGTCCCTGTGTGGGACACTTACTGAAAATGAATTGTTAGAGCTGGCTTTGGGTTCCTTGTTTTGGGAGCCTAGGCTCTTGAAGATCTAGATCTGCGAGGACGACCACTCAAGTATGGAGTATACCGCAATGAAAACTCGTGCCTCTCCATGTGCCCCAATCGAGTGGGGGACAATCTTCCAGCCTCCATAAATTCATACGAGCTTTGAATAAGCTTTGTACAGAGGTTCTCGCTCTGAGCACGAAAGGAGATCAGATCTAAAAGTGGTTTGTGAAATGTATCCGAATTCTTGTGGCGGATGATGCTAAGATATGACCAGCGGCAATTGATTTCTCAAGGTTATCCAAATGGAACTTGCCTTTAGTTTTTCTATATCCGATCATACTCATCCAGGGTTGAGAATAACAAGACAACGTGTCACAGCGACGTTATAGCATCGGCTTTAAGATCGCGTCATACAGGCGCGTGCCAGGCGGTGTAGATTTGAATAGCATCCAACCTTGAACCCAAGAAAAGAAAGACCAGCTAGCCAATATGCTCCGAGTCTGGCGACGGTTCGGTTTTCCCTCGTCAATCACTCGGCATTGCCTCCATTACTCCATTCGACCATTATCTGACATAGGAAACAAAACCAACGCCCCTGTGCCCCATCCCAGGCCCCGCAGCTCATCCCCAGGAACAGATTCGCAACAGCCGACTCTTCGTTAGTAGTAACCTGAATTCCCTGCAATTGTTTAGGGACTTTGAAAGGCGATGATCCGCATTCGTACACTGGTAGAAGATGGCTCAATCGGGATAACCTCGAGTGAGACTCGCGCTATATTGCGTTTGACTTCTCAGCGCTATGTGAGCGGGCCATTCGCATATGCCTAGGAGCAACTAAAATTATCAAATATAAGAAGCGCGAAGGTGGATTCAGTCGAGTTTTTCTTTTAATAATGGACAATGGACCTTGCATTATAGTAAGGATACCCACGAGTATTACTAGTCCGCTAGGGCTAACAACTAACTCCGAAGTTGTAATAATAACTTATTGTAAGGCTTATTAGTATACCAGGATATAGCTGATATACTTACTGCATTATATCTCTTATAGTATAGTCTAAGATCTCACTTCCTATCCCGAAAATTCTCGACTAGAACGATAATCCTTCTAATCCGACTGGGACTGAATATATCATCTAGGAGCATATAGCGGGTATATAACTATACCAAGTATAGCCTATAATGAATACAGAACAGTATATACTGTATACTAAAGCGCTTTCATTAACATTAAGAAAGATAGCTTCTCTGGACTTCCTAGCTTATAGGAGTCTATACTTCGCAGATATACCTCTAGACTCTAAATCTAAGGTTCCCTTCGAACAGGTCTTCTTTATAGGGCCATATTGCAGACCGGTCTTCTAGAACCGGAATCTAGGGGAAAACGAGCTCTTCTCTACCCAGACTTCTATAAGAGGAATATCTTCGTCTCAGCCAACGAACCAACTATTATTAATAGCCTAATAGATTAGCAATCAATAAGCGTCGAGCCCGCGTTTATCTATACCAATAAGATACCCGATTTTGCTATACTTCCAGTTATTCCTAATAAAGATTCATCCGAGAACGATCAAGATGACCCTAAACTTTCTAAGCAGTAGGAAAGAGAACTAAGAGATAATTCCATCTACTACCAGATATATAATACAATCATAACAGGCCTTACTCCTAAACTCCGCCCTGTAAGATTACTTGACCCAACTCCTTTCCGACTCTTTCACTACAGCCAAATAATATAGAGCGACTCCGCTGCTGCTGTCCGCCAAGAATTGATTGAACTTTTTACTAGCTGGAAAAAACTGGGCCTAGAAGGCTCATATCCGTATTCTCCCGTAGAAGCGGAATTAAAGCAGCATGCTCGAGACTACGAAGATTTTGAGTCCGTTTAAGAACTAAAATTATGGCTAAAAAACACACTTGATACAGATTCTCACGGATGGATCCTGAACGATGCATAGGATGCTGCGAGGGCTGTTCATCGCGCAGCGTATGATGAATGGATACAGACTGCTAAAGACGCTGAGTCTCGCGGTGAAGACATGATAGTGGAAAGCGCGGATAAGATGTGGCCATTTGACGCTAGATAGTCAATCTTCTTGCGTATATTGTCTGGAACCATCTCGCCTTGGTTCCCAGTGACTAGCTCGACGTTCTCAGTTTCGGCGCGACGCAACTTACGTGCCATCTCGCCGTCCTAAACAAGAATAATGATATTTGTTATGTATTACAAGGCCCGTCAATATTTCTACCCAACTTTAAGTGGACAGTAGACACGGACGACTCACTGATAGAAGGGAGTGGTATAGCTCCCGTGGTCCAATTGGAGAGCCAAATCACCTCCGACAAGAAATTCGGTCATTCACCCTCACTTTTGATATAGGTACAAGAATAGTTGGCCACTTGGGCCTTTGTTGCCCTATCTGCATCAGCATTGAAACCGAGGGTGACTATAGTAGAATCTTGACAAGATTCAATTGGCCTGCTCTGGCGTAAATTACGGGGCAAAATGCATTAGCGACATGCATCATGGTCCTGCGAAGCCTCCATCCAGTAACTGCAAGTGGGTTTAGTGTGCGGATCCCAGTCTATTGAACAAGTTTTCGTCCTATATCGTAGACCCGCATACACTAAATAGTAGACACGGGATAATCCCTGTTCACTCATCTATAAGTGGTTTAGTTGGACTGGCTCCATTATTTTTCAGGCCGAATAAATGAAGAATACAATAAACAATAACAATGCGATAACCTCTTATAGCATTGGCCCACAGCAGGTTGACTCATTTTTATCTAAGTATGAGATACCTAGCTATCGGGACTTTTGTCACAAATGATCGCTCTTAGACAGCAATTCCCCTCATCTAGCCAGATGCTGGGGATAGTTCATACTTCCGTTCTAATGTTGCCATTTGCTCTCGGTGCAAGGTGTTTGTTCCAAGTTCACGGACAACGTTCAAAATGACAGTCATCGGTTTATCAAACAGACCTGCTATTCATCCCCAAGTTGCCACTACACCCAGCGCTCCCGAGAAACTGGTGCATTTGCAAAAGGAAATTGAATCTCATTCCCAGGCTTACAGAAAGGGCAACGCCGATGCGCGCCTGAAGCTGCTAGAGACAGCCCGGTCTCTCGTACAGGCAATGGAAACGCCACAGGAAACCATGCTACGATACTGCTGGGCCCAGGTACGTCAGAACGGAGATCTTAGTTCAGGAACCAAGGATGCTTATTCGATTGTTTATGCGTAATAGCCCACAGCGTTTGCCGGCATTGAAACCTGCATCGATCTGGGGATCTTCTGCATATTAGCGCAGACTGACAAGCCTAAAACGGTAGCAGAGCTCGCAGCAATAACAGGTGCGGAACCCGAACTTCTCGGTCAGTGATAACTTCCAAGTCAAATAATTATGACGCTTATAATTTCAAAGGTCGTATCATGAAGCATCTCGCCACAATGGGTGTCTTTGTCGAAACTGGTATGGATGAGTATGGCCGCAACGGGCTAACTACCACGTTGGCTATTAAGCGGTACAATGATGCTTGGCCGTGCATGTAAGTAGTTCCACCTCTAGGCGTTCTCCCGTCCATATTGGTGTACTGATTTGATTTCCGCTGGCAGTAATGGATGCACCCTTCCAGCAATCAATGTGCTGCCCACCTGGCTCAAGAAAAACAATTATCGAAGTCCCACCAATGGTACAGACTGTCCGTTTACTCTAGGGTTCAAAACCGAGTATCCCTTCTTCGAATTCCTCAACGGCAAGAACCCCGACTATCCTGAACTCGGCGCTCAGTTCAACAATCTCATGTCGGCCTACCACCAAGGTAGACCTAGCTGGATGGATGGAAATTTCTACCCAGTACAAACTCTCATTGAGGGAGCAAAGACCGGCGAGGAAGACGTATTCATTGTGGACGTTGGGGGAAACAAAGGGCACGATCTAGACGAGTTCGTATCGAAGTGGCCAAACACACCGGGCAGATTGATCCTGCAAGACCAACCGCATGTTTTGAATGATATCAAGTCGCTGAACCCGGCAATTAAGCCCATGGCCCACGACTTCTACCAAGAACAGCCCATCAAGGGTGAGTGGATTGACACACATAGAGCGTTAGCTAGTAGCTGACATATCCAAAGGCGCGCGAGTATATTTCTTGCACTCCGTCCTGCACGACTGGAACGACGAGATATGCCAGAAAATCTTGTCACAATTGGTCGCCGCCATGACACCCGGATACAGCAAGTTGCTGATCAATGAGAACGTTGTTCCCAATACTGGGGCCCACTGGCAGGCTACTTCTCTGGACCTAATAATGATGGTGGATCTTGCTGCTAAGGAGCGGACTGAACAGCAGTGGCACAAATTATTGAGCCGGTTGGGCTCAGAATTGCTAAAATCTGGACGCCGCTGGACAGTGTCGAGAGCTTGATCGAATGCGAGTTGGCCTAATAAGCCCAATAGTAAGAAGAGGAAGATCAAACAATCAACTACATTTTTATACTTCTCAGGTGGTACTAAATATTTAATATGGACAGAGATGGTCGGAGAGGACGTCGTTCATTGGGAATGCTACTCTCTATGATATCGATTTCTCTTTCCCTTAATTCCCCTAAGTCTTCAGCTATTAGCGCGGAGCATCATGCATTTTTTTTTTGCTTTTGAAAGAGACACCGGGGGGGGGGGGGGGGGCCAGCGAGCCCGGTACTCCCCACCGCAAAATACCTATTGGGAATTT